TATCGGCACCAAAGAAGTGGCCGAGCTCATAGATTCTTCCAAGGATAAACAAACAGTTGCCATTAAATACAAAAACGAAAATACATTTCCATTTGCATAGAAAATACACGCCCTAATAAAAATATGTTCATGCTTGTGACTATTGAAAAGAATAGATGTGAGGAAACGAAGAACTGAACTACTAGAGTGCTCTCTTAAAAACGGAAATATTGAATTATGGACGCAATTAACAGGTAAGTAAGGATAACCTTGTGATATTTGTTGGTTGTTTGCATGTTTAGCACCGTTTTCCCGATTTCCCGTTTTCCCGCCGCCATAAAAACCCGTGAAGAATTAAAAAATTAGAGCAGCTCGCTGTTTGGGCCGCTGTGGCTTTCGGGGAAAAAAAGTAGCGCAGCATAGCGAAAAAAAGGACAATGGAAACAAAAAACTTGATCTAGTTTCCTAATACGGTCGAAAACGTCGCGCATTGCCTGCCCGACAGGACACAATGCCAAAACAACAAGCTCTGTTCCAGTTCGGCGAAAATTGTGCCGAGGATTAGTCCATAAAAATCTGCATATATATAGTTTTGAAAAATCGTTTGAAAGAACAAAGCGACCCGGCCCTAAAGCAGCGCACAAAAATTGAAACAAAACAAAAAACTGATCTAGTTTTCTAATGCAGCGACTGCAGCCAGCACTCGACAGGATGATCATCCTCATCCTGACGAAGACGAGGTCGCTCAGCCAATATGTCCGGCATTTCCGCGGAAACTGCACCAATAAAAAGGCGCGTCTGCTCTACCTAGAGGGCATGGCCAAGAAGAGAAAAAAACGACCCAATTTTTAGTGAAATGCGAGCGCAATAAAAACGGACTTCGCATCCCGCGAAGCTGCGGCCGCAGACTCGACCTCTCGACCAAGTGCCCGGCCGGCTAACTGCCGTAATTAGGACGGTTATAGGGCAGGTTCTGGGACCAGTGTGTGCGGAAAAAATGGGAATAAAGGAAAAAACTCATAAAAAGAGCAACAAATAGTTTAAAAATTGCTCGCTTTTTTCAAAACAAACAAAAAAGCGACAAAACAAGACAGCTAAGCAGAGCACGAGCTCGCACAATTGAGTCAAATAATTAGGTGAGCCATTGTAGGGTATTGTGTGGGCGCATGATTAGCGGTTTCTTTTTTAGGGCGCGCGTTCCTTTTGCCTCTCATTCAACGCATTCTCCTCCATTCAGAGCTGATGGTTGTAGGTTGTAAGAAAAAATAAAATAAAACCACTCAAGCTATGGTGGGAAAATTGATGGAAATTGCTTTCGTTCTTTTTTATATTTTATTTCTATAAAAAATATGCTCATTTTTTAGATATTGTACTATTGCAGGAGCACATTAAAATATATTGTATTTACAAAATGTTAAAGAGGACTGATATTCAAATGGCTAAACAATCTTTCTAAAATTTGACTCCATCCAAAAAAGTAGAAAAGGGTTTGCCTAAAAAATGATAATACATTGAAGTATAATTCACAAGTGGGAATTGATCTGTAATTGGAAAGGGTTCTGTGGATTTGACCTGTAATTGAAATGTGGGTTGATAACAAATATTGTGATCTGTGTAAATACACATGTATTTATTTATGAAAAAGGTTTATTAATTAAAGAAAGTCTCTTATAGAGGGGTTCAAAAAGCTAAAGCTTTAATCAAACAGCAAGAAACTAAAATGTGGAGACAAGGTTCATTATTGCTTCACATCAGTAATAGTAACTAAGTAGTAAGTATATATAGACTAATGACAAAAAAAACACCCTTAAAAAACAATTATATCTTAGTTAAAATTGTGTTCTTTCAGTAATGTATTTGTGTTTTTTACAATGTTTAATAAAGCTATTAAATTATTAATAAGGAGAATAGAGTTGGAAACTTCAAACCTTATTAGAGGTAACTAATGAATAGATGAAGGCTGGTTGAAAATGGTTTTAAATGAAATCAAGTTTAAAATGGAAATAATTTCTAAAAACCTATCATCTCCTTCTTCTACTCATATACTTTTATATTGCAAGTAAAACTTGTAAACTTTTCTATAAAAATCACGTTAAACTGTGTGTTAAGACTAGAAATATTTTTATACTCTGTACCCAAAGGGTTAAATCGTATTCTAGTTTATTTCTTAAGGTGTATCAGTATTGTATAACGCTAAGTAGTAGGAGTTCTTTTGGTGATAGAATTCGCTTTTCGAAAACAAACTGCGGCGGACAAAACAATTCAAGTATATATGAGTTTATATTGATTTCTCATAAAATAGACATCATAAAACAGACATCAAATTTAAAAAGAGACTTACATATATATGTATATATGCTTAGCATATAGTTCAAATCATATAACAAATATGACTGTCCACAGAAACCATTTTATAGCCACTTAAAAACGTTTAAAATAAATAATTTAAAATCTCAGTTTAATTATTGAGTAAAAATATGAAAACAGCGCTCAGTTAAAATGGGAATCATTAATTGTATGACCAAATAAATCATGTAGACATTTAGTTGCTAATAAAAAAGAAATACTTCATATGTTATCGCACAAATTTGTTGAAAGGGGTTATTTAGAAAATGTGTGTCCAGCTGGGGTGTATTTACTTTTATAATAATAGAAAAAGGCAAATTAAGCATTCCCAAATAATATAAAGAAAAATGCAAGCAGAGAAATTTACTAAACTACAATTCATATAAGTAATATTGTGTGATCATTGAGATTATCAAAATATTGATGAGGTTTTTCTAAGAAAATGAGGAGAGAAAAATCTAAACTCTGAAATCAACAAACTAAACATATATTGAATTTCTTATCATTTTGTATGTAGTGTCTAAATCCAACTATAAAGCGCATGCATCTCCCATTATCCCATGAATAATACAGTTTGTGTTTAACATTTTGGCATTAATAATTATCCTAAAATTAAGAAAGCTATAAATCTGTTTTATATTTTAAAATATCCCCCTTACAAATATTTGGCGTATTTATACAAATTATAATTAAAATGTGTCCAATTGAAACAGAAAACATGAACATTTTTAGATAGCGTTGAATGGCTTTAAATTAAGGAATAATTGATGTCCTTAAAAAGTTCCAGTTACCACCAACATTCAACACGTCATCTCAACATCTATTTAACAATATTTTTATCTAATTTTTCAAATACTAACAACAAAAATATAAAAAAGAGGCTTGTAAACGTAACTTTCCTAGTAATTTGTGGTTGGCTGAAAGAAAAGAAATAAAATATGAAAATTTTTAGATATCATTGAATGGCTTTAAATTAAGGAATAAATTTTACCTTAAAAGAAGTTGGAAATATTAGCAACATTCAACACGACATTTCAACATCTATTTAACAATATTTTTTATTTAATTTTTCAATTTAATTGTTCAAAAACGTAACTTTCCTAGTAATTTGTGGGTGGCAGACAGATTTTGTTGCAGCAGCAATGTCGGAACTGCCAGAACGGCGCTGTCAAGACGGCGAGCGGAACCACAAATATGGGAATTGATCGGCTACGTTTACTATAAATAGAGCCATTTGCGGTGTCGGTATCCCACCGGGCGGCCTGTTTACCCATACCCTGACCAATTGCACTCCAAGCACAACAAACAAACAGAAGAACGAACCGACAGGCGACAGTCGGAAAGAAGCATTCGATGTCCACAGATTCGCCAACAAACACTGTTGGAAATGCACAGAGTCGGTAGCAGTTGTCCACCGCATTGACGAATTTCATCAAAGTGGAACACAAACTCAGGGTCAAGCGTCCTGCTAACAGACATGTCAAATCGCAGGACAACAGTCCGTCAGTGCCGCCAAAGGCAAGGCAAGGCAAGGCACGGCAAGGCAGGGCAAAAGCCAAGACGGTAGTGGTAGTGAGGACGGGCATAGAGAGCGGTCCCAAGCAGCCTAAACAGCATCGCCTTACCGCAGCAAATTCGCTCCGACTGTGCAAGAACAGCGGGGAACACAATAATATTTTGGCAAGACGCAGAAGCAGAAATACGGAGACCAAGAGACAGAGCCGTGGTTTGGCTCGATTTTTTCGATGGAATTCTTCACAGCGTCATTTATTGAAGAGCGATTAGCTACGGTGAGTGGCGGTTTGAGTGAGATGGCGCGATTGCGCTACAAGCAGCGATCCTGTGCGCCGCAGGACGAAATGCTACGGTGGCGGCAATAGCAACAGCAACAGCAACAGCAACAGCAACTGTTTGGGAATGCAGATGAAGCTATCCGACGAGCATTGCACGCCGCCGTTGGGCTCGGTTTGGCGTAAATTTGTGAAAATTAAATCGTTCCGGTTACGGCCGAACGGGGCACATTCTAGGAGGTACTTCTGTAGCAATTTTATTTGTAACGTAGGTGTTGTATTTATCAGCATTTAGCTGAGCAGAGGGACCTGCAGACAGGGGCAGAGGATTAGCCAACTTGTGGGCATAGTTTTGAAATGCCTACTGCAGCACTAATTGGCACGAAGGCGCGCTAAGGATGTGCTAATTTTTTACTAAAGTCCCTGATTACATATGCATGTATTTATTCATTACTATAAAAAAAAAAATATATCTCATAAAACAACACTGTAAATGAAATACTATTTTTGTTTTTAATTAAGTTTTAATTAAATTGTTTAAAAGTTAATAACATTTTCTTCAACAAATGATTAAACATTAATGCGCAAGTAACGTTAAATCTGCCAACGAGCGGAAATGTTTAGTAAATTATATAAACTGTGTTAATTAAAATTCTCTAGACAATGCACAAATACATAACATTATAACAAAATTTTCATTTTTACATTTTGCCGTTACGTCAGCAAACGCTACGCAACGTAGTGTAAAAATATTTTAGTACACGCTCAGTTTTGTAGCACTGAGCTTTCTTTCGCATGCATACTTCATCGATATTGGGTGGTTTTTAATAACAATGCTGCCACACTGTGCCATTTTAGAGCAGCTGTTTCAACACCTGGCACACGTCACGTAAATAAGTGAAACTTTTGTAGCCACAAGTAATCGACGATGGTAGATGATAGCACAAGAAAAACATTAAGCAGCATACCCCTGCTGCAGACCCGGGCCGGCCCTCGCGACAAAGATATTTGGGTGCAGAGGCTGAAGGAGGAATATCAGGCTCTAATTAAGGTGGGCACTAACATATGCACGTTGTTTTTCTCAAACCCCCTATCTGTTGTCATTTTGCAGTATGTGGAAAATAACAAACAATCTGGCAGCGACTGGTTCCGCTTGGAGTCGAACAAAGAAGGCACCAAGTGGTTCGGCAAGTGCTGGTACATGCACAATCTGTTGAAATATGAGTTCGAGGTGGAATTCGACATTCCTGTAACCTATCCAGCAACGGCGCCGGAACTGGCGCTGCCCGAGCTGGATGGCAAAACAGCCAAGATGTATCGCGGTGGCAAGATCTGCCTGACCGACCATTTCAAGCCATTGTGGGCTCGTAATGTGCCAAAATTTGGAATAGCACATGCCATGGCGTTGGGCGTAAGTTGACAGTCAAACGTGTTTCCTTCCCATTTGGATTAAATTCGTGAAATATATAATTTTTATTTTTACTTGCAGCTGGCACCCTGGCTGGCGGTTGAGATTCCTGATCTAATCGAGAAAGGAATCATTACGTATAAGGAGAAATGAACAATATTTGGCATTTATGACTACTGATTAGATGAAAAAGTAATGTTAAACAATGGATCAAATGCAGTCTGGATGCAATACAAGTCATTTACCCTTGGTTTTATTAGTCAAAAGTCAAATTGGAAAAGATCATTTATGCATCATTGTAACCTAAGTGTCTATAAGTAAGAATTTCATTTGGTTTTCTTTCTCTTTTTAATTTGATCTGTGAGCTTGTTCAGCCTTCAGTTCATGTGATTGTTGCGCTGTTGCTGCTGCTGCTGTTGCGACTGGGATTGGTTTTGTCGCCAATTGTCAGACCAAATTGAGCTGGGCGAGGTGAATGGATCGTACTGGGTGGGCAGTTGGGTCCGTTCCTGCTCGATTTGTGCGTTGGTAGGTGCGAGCAAGTTTTGCGCCAACTCATCCACATGATTTATCATATTTGATGGATTATTTACCGGCATTTGAAGGTAAGTTGTCTCAAGCCCAGGCGGAGGGCGCACAACGCCAGTGGCGGTATGCGGCACCTGATTCTGCCACGAAGCAGCATAGCCAATTGGAGACCAAGTCGACGATGATGCAGTATTATGCATGGGCCAGCTATTTCCATCTACATGGGTCATTAGTTGCGAGTACTGTTGCAGCAATTCATCCTGCGACTGCCGATTGTGTTGCTTCTGTTCCGAATTTTGCTGAAGCAATAACTGCTGCTGCTTCAATATCAATTCGCTTCGTTGCCACTGAGCATGTGAGGGTGGTCTTTCATAAATACCGCCCAAGTCTAAAAGATAAAGTATTTAGGATTATTTGGTAGATACTCACACAACTTGTGTTGTATGTACTTACTTCCTAGCTGAGCTTGCTCCAATATCGGCGGACTTAAATCAATGCCTGTAAAAGTGTTTGATTCAACCGATGCCACATTCGAAGGCATCTCGAAAAGAGACAAAGATTTGTCGCTGGTCACATCGTGTGTCGTAAGTGGTTCCCAAAGCGAAGTCATACCCGTCGGCGAACCGCTCTTTTTGCTCCCAATCGGTCCCAAAAGAGTAGCTGCCAGTTCAGTAGATATGCCTTTCCCATTCCAGTTGAGTCCATTTTCAGTCGAGGGAAATTGTTTAGTCTGCAGCACATCGCTGAATGAGGCACGACTGCTTGTATCCCAGGACGAGGTAATGCACTTCAAGGTGTCTGGCGAGGCTGGCGGCGATACAGTCGGTGCGGTATTTACATTACCATAGAAATTAAGTTGCTTGTTGCGCTGCTTGCCGCTTCTTTTTGGGGCTGTAGCTTGTACTTGTAGAGCATTCAACTGTGCCGCCTTTTGTTCCTTACGGCGCTCTCTACCCGGCGTCTTGCCAAGTTTCTTAACCGAACCATTTTGCTCCTTCAGCACCTTGGGTTCACGCTCCTTGGGCGAGTCCGCACTGCTTTTGGTAGGACGCGGTGATACATTTTCCTGTTGAGTGGTTATCACTTTTGGATGGGCTGACTGTCTGACATCCTGCGCTTCAATGACAACATGTGGTGTGGGCTCTGTTTTTGATTTTGGCGTTAACGAAATGGTTTGCTTCGCTTTCCTCTGAATACGTGGTGCCGTCTGCAATGGCTGATGTGGCTGTGCTTGAGCTGCTTGTGGCGATGGCGTGGATTTCTTGCTGGTTTTTGCCTCGTTTGGAGAACTCGAATTTGGGAGCACGGGCTTAGCGCTGGCAATGGCACTAGCGCTAGTATCGCTGACCAGCTTCGACGACTTTTGCAAATGTTGGCTCAACACATTCATATCCATGTGCCAAGGAGTCCATGACTTGGCCTTTTTTGTTGTGCTTTTCTCCACGTTGCTCGACGGCATCGTGAGCGTTGTGCGTTTTCGCATATCTTTGGTTTGACCAATCTTGAGCTTCTGCTGCTGTGCCGCATCCAATTTTACCCCAGTCGCTGGGGTAGCTGATTCCTCCGCTTGTAGCTTGGCTATGTTGCGCAGATTGAATGTCGGCTGAATGGGTCCTTTGTAGCGAGCTGCATCAAAGGCGTTCTGGTGGGCGATAATGGTGCGGTAATCGAAAACGGCAGCAAACAATACCAAAATGAAACTGGTGAGAAGCACAATCATTGCTGTATTGCGCAACGCCTGCTCCCACTGCGGACGCGGCAAGCTGCCACGACAACGCTCCAGACTCTCCGCCGGCAGTTGGGCCAGCAGTGAGTAGCTTATGTCATATGTGAGATTCGTCATTAGCGTGAGAGGCCGCAGCATGCGCGATGTGGTAAAGTCAGTGCTGAAGGCAATCTCCACCTTACGCGTCTCGTTCTCGCGCAGCTCGAAGCTCTGGCAGTCGAAGACCTTAAAGCCAAAGTTTTCACATGGCCGATTCCCAATGAGAAAACCTTCAATAAGAATCGGCGCCGCTCCCGAATTACGTGCCGTAAATGTGCGCGTAGCCATGACGCTGTGCGACTTTCCATCAGCTTCTGTAGTCGGTTCCACCGCTCCCTGACTACCATCGCAGGTTTCGAAATGTTCGGGCGTCAGCTCGAAAAGTAACGGTGTGGTTGAGCCCGGCCGGCGATTGCCAAAACGAAACTGAGACTGAACTGCCCGCGCAGTAAGCCAAACAGCCTCGTAGAGTGTCAGATTGCTGCGTACATGGAGCAGAGTACAGTACTTCTCGGCTTGCGATGCACTAAACTCAATGGGAACTGAAACGCTGGCGCCCGCCGGCAGCAGCACTGGAGACGTCGGTGTGCCATCGGTCAGTCTGAACACATCGCGATCCGTCAAATAGCAGCTGGTGGAGGTCATATCTAGAACCTCATGTGGCAGCGAGAGTTCGGAACGTGCATGCTTCGGATCGGCTAAAAAATAGTCCACCAGCAGAGCATGTTGCGTAGGATTTGTGATCACTATCGAACGCCTCTGCACCTGGCCCACTTCTACGGCGGGTGTTGCATGAGCTCTACCCTGAGCCTGAACCAGTTTAGGCCACTCCACATCAATACCGAACTCCAGCTCAAGCGGATGCAACTCCTCGCTGTGCAGCGTCAGCGTCAAGGCGTTCAGTTGCCGTTTGAATTGGCGATACAGTTCGATGCGCTGGCGCAGCTCCACGCCATGGTAGAGCAAATTTCTGTTGCCGCCAGAGCTACTGGGGAAAATAGAATCCTTGTTAGACGATCGCTTGAGGTAACAATTCGATTTGCATAAGGCAGACGGTTCAAAGTATATGCGTCCTACTTTAGTGAGGGTTTTTGGCGATATTGTGGTGCCCTTGGCATTAAAGTCCTTGAAGCGCAATCCCGGCCTATTAAATTTGATGGCTGACACATGCAACGGTTGCACCAAGCTGGAGCGTATGCTTAAAATAGCCGTGCATATTTTTCCTGGAAAACAGTTCCTGAAGGTTAGCTGCTCCTGCTCGACCTCAAGCTGGCCCATGGTAGCCTTAAAATATACCATCACATCGATATCCTCGTACTGAGTGCTAACTTTAAAAATGCCTCCACTCTGCTCCTCCCGGCTGGTTTTAATAGCCAGCTGGAAGATGGCCACGTCGCCCTCCTCCAGTTGTCTACAAACATAAAAGGCCATGCTGTCATTGCGGCCGCTGAGAAGTTCTCTCTCGCTTTGTGGCAGTAAACAGCCAATAAATCCAGCCTGATAGTAAACATTCTTCGTTAACTCGAATTTCCAATCGGTTAACTTGATGGTCATGGGATTATTGTTACGCAGCACCACAAATCCTGCCTGCGACATCGCAGCAAGTGGTACAGTGCCCATATCAAGCTCAAGGCTGTGCTCTGCTTCCGGGTTCCAACGAAAATCGAACAGCTGCGTCGACACATGCAGCAAGCCACTGCACGATGTGACGGGCATCTCGAACGTCGTTACATTGCTCTCAATGCGCAGCGATGACTTAAATGTGGCTTGAGTGTTTTTTAAATGCAACTGCAGAAGTTCCACGTTTTCTCCTGGCTGCAGAAGAAATTGCTCCGTGACCGGTGTTATGTCCAGGAGCGATCCATCAATCGGATCCGATAGACTGACATTATACAGCTTTAATGGAAAAGCAAATGTGTTGCGTACCACCAACGATCTTTTCCGCTCCAAATCCTTTTCGGAGCTGGTGACAAAAGTGGTCACATTGCCATCAAAGAGCAGGCCACCTTTGTGAATTTCTGCACGTACGAGCACCGTGAATTCACCTTGAGCTTTCCCATTGACATCGGCGCCACTGCTCACGACAAGCAAATCATTAATTGTGGCACTCTCGTCGAAGAGTCGCGGGTCCAGCACAATGCTGGCATTGTGAGCATCGAATGACAGACCCGGAATGTCGCGCAAGTATTTGCCAATTAGCTTGCGCTTATTTGCGTCTGCATGCTCGTTTTGCATGTCAAGCTTAAAGTGTAGCGTTTCGGCCTGCTGCGTGGCAAGGCGGCCGAAGTCTGCCAGTGGATTGCGAGCGTAGGCTGCATGGGTGGGCAGTATTTCGAATTCGACGGGTATGACTAGAACGTTTTCGTTGGCGGGCTCCAGCGATGGCTCGTCTGATTGCTCGGCGATTTTGATGCGTATGTACGCACTGTGGTTGCCAGCGGTGCGCCCATGAAACGATATGCGTATTACAGGCTTTAATGTATGTGGTGGTATCTCCCAGAGATTTTGTGGTCCCTCTGAACCGCCGCTGGGCAGCTCCAGCTGAAACTCTCCGCCGCTGCTGTAAACCTGCAAAAAATTACATTTTAAGTGGGAGGTTAACCAATTGCCAAAATTTACCTCTAGAATCTGCAGAGGCCGCTCGTGGGGATTGTACATGTGAATCTCTGGCGTTAGTGTAGCGTTCATGGGCGCCTTTATGCCCACGAGCGGCTTTAAGCGATACGGACACTCACTGCCCTCGCCACGCACCGAAAACCCCGTGCGTCCGAAGGACGTGTGTATAAGGAGATCCGTTGATATGGCACCTAGTTGCCGGGGCAAAAATACAACGCTAAACGTTGTATTGCCCTGTGGCGGCACTTCTCGTGACCCAAAGAAACTTCCGTGGAACTCTGGACTGGGTCCAGTAACAGAGTTTAGATGAACTGTGCGATTTGTGTGCTGATTGAATAATGTTACAATCTGCGAGCGTGCCTGCCCCACGGACCACGTTCCAAAGTCTATCTGTTGCGGCACAAAATGCAACTCACGCAACAGTTCTGGTTCCTCGTGCGTCGCCGGCTCTGACAGTGGCTCGTCTAGGCTGATGAAACTACCCTCTAGAGGGCCGCCTACCAGTTTTTCGTTACTGGCTTCTATGTGGATTTGATGATTGGCCTCGGCACAGGCGCAAGCACTGACAAGCCACAACAGGAGCCGCAACTGCAGACTCAGTGTGTTATTTGTGTACATATTTGATGTATTTGTTGCCGTTTCTCTCCCTGTAGTTTAGTTGTGGACTTGTTTGCCGCAACGCACTTAAACAAGATATAGTTTTAAACAATATTTTTTATTACTCAATATATCTCTCGCAGATAGCCAGCTGTTTCAAGGTTTTCCACTGTTATGCAGCAACGTGATTGACCGCTAACATTTCAGACAAACGGGAATTCGTTTCTGTCGCTCCGTTTAACTTTACAAAGTTAATGTTTCGACTCGTTTTGAAACCCAGAACCCCTTGTAAATAGTTTAGAAGAGTTCTGAACACTTTGCCAACCAACAAATGTATTAAACCGGGTTTTAAGCGCGACAAAAGTGATGCAAAACCGCTTGTTGCCGGCCAGTGAAAAACGACTAACATTTGCAAACTCAGCGCTGCCACTTTTAGTTTTAGGGTGCCACCTTTTTGGAAAGCGTGATTTATTTACAGTGACCTTATCTGAGATAATTGCTTGTAACGGAAAAATTTGATCAACTACAGTCTTCAATTGACGACGATAATAATTTCCTCTTAAATAGAAATGAAAATATTTACGAAGTTTTTATAGATACAAAGTGGGTGCAACTGGTTAACAAACAATTGAGATCTAATTTTGTTTTGATCAAACTGCTTACGTGTTGAGTAGCTAATACTTGCATATTTTAAATTGTTATACAATTGTTTTTGTTGTTTCTTATTAATGATGGATAATTTTGAAATATATTTTTGTGTTGTCACAGTTTAAGCTATCGCTCAGTAGAGATGTACAACATTTACAGATATTTTGTCACGAGGCTTGTGCGCTCTGTAATACTTTTGCAATGTTCATCTCTGAGGTACATAAATAGTGCTCATCGCTAGCGCAAATGCAGAGTTAAACAAAAAAGAAAGTTTACGTGTAGTTTTGAAGTTGTTAATTACACAATTGATTAATTTACAACAAATATCTAAACCGCGGAGCTATTCTAACGTGAGTGTGCTAAAAATAAATCAAATGAGACAACAAAAATTGCAATTGCAAAAACTACATGGGGGACTCAATTGATCGATGTAGATACATATGTACATACAGATGTATGTATATATGCATATACAAATATATATGGATATATACGTACATAAATGTGTGTGTGTGTGTATATACCAGGAGTGCAATTGTGGCAACCGCAATTTTGAGGCCGAAAACTACCATGAAATTTATAGAAAAATATTGATTTTGCTCACTTTCACCCGCGACATTGCGATGTATAGCTTTTATTTAAGCAATTTCGGTTGGCGCGAACGCACCTAATTATAAAGAATTCACATCGAAATCGCATTGAACTTCGAACTTATGCTCATGTTAATTAGGCAATAGGAATGTTGGGCTTCTATTGGTGCAAAGTCATTGCCTCTGTTTAAAATGTAAAACATCGGACAGTTGGGTTTGCGAGCTCAGTGAACACGTACCATAACGTCTGCCTTACAGAGCAGTTCTCTGTGTCATATTTGGGAATACTTTCGATTTATTGGATTTATATAATATGAGCTAAGTTATGCCTGGTTGCGACATATGCGCTTTTGGAGAAAGTTTAACTGGTTAGTTGACAGTGCACCCTGCATCGAATATTTAAGGGCTTTCTGGTGTGGTAATCATGTGGAGTTTAGTAGAATTATGCATTACCTATAACCAGGATGTGTTGAAAATATATTCAACCATATCAACAGGCCAATCGACAGATATTAATAACGTATCGGGGACTCCCCCTTGAGACCCCCTTCTCTGCAGTCGACAGACCTGAAGTTCAGTGTCAAAGTATTCGTGAGTTATTTCTGGTTGCCATGGCATATTGCCTTCCAAATGATGAATTACTTTCGCTTTCCCTCCAACACTACCACTCTTCCGTGGCAGAATAAACAAATAAAACATATCTGATTAACTGATTATTCCGGATTTTAGTGTTTTACATGTAAATTCAATGCACTGGCAACGAATACTTGGGTGATATCTCAGCACTTTTAAACGGTTTTTTTAGTTACTTCACTCCCTATTTTGGGGCTTTCATTCGGAACCAGTTTTTGGGTACACATTATTAAGATGTGGGACAGTCAGCCAGAGAGCCCGCTCCCGTTATAGCGATTGATCAAGCCACAGCCACGGCGAGTCAAGCCAAGCCAACAATTGCCGAATTATTCAAACTAATATGCACGAATCGCTGAGTTCGCAGCGCAATCGCTGACGTTATTCGGTTGGCGCTTCCACTGCTGCTGCTGCTGCTGCTATTCCCTTCGTCGGCGCTGCTCGTGCATATTAGATTTCAGTTTACTTGTGACACGAAAGCGCGCAGGTTGGTGGCGACGCACCAATATACAAACACACATACGCACATATAAAGAACAGTCCGCAGGAACGAGCACGCGTTCAAGCACTTGTTGCACTTGCACTCGAATACCTACTATATAGTATATATTCTATTCTAAATAAACAAATTCAAAGTTTGAAAGTACAGCTGTTGTATAGTATTTGTATTTGACCCGCACTAGTCAAAGTCAACCAAAGCGTAACGTCAACGGCCGGCACTTCAAGCACTTAAATAAGTTCCTTGTCTTTGGTGTGTACCTAAAACTTTACAGCTATACGCATACATACATATGTATGTATGTACATATGTACTATTTTTTTTTTATAGTTTCTCTTATAATGTACCGTTTATGTTAATTGCATTATATTTTCATTTCCATTCCTGCATTATAGCACCAAAATGTCTGCGAAAGCAATTACCGAAGCCTCCGGCAAGGACATTTTGAACCGTCATCTGAACCAAAATGGCGCAGGCGCAGCCACCTGCCGTTTTGCCACAGTTAACGCCAACACGGACTGGTCCAAATTGAGTGTCGATCACCCCTGGTTGCTGTCTACGGTGAGTGATATGTTTATTAATAGGCACGCATTATCAACCAACTAACAGAAATAGACAGACCACCACCAATGAGATGACAACGACTAAACACACTGAACTTGACCTCGACTTTCATGCTCGCACCCAGTGACTAAGCGCGCCATCCCCACATTCTCAAACACAACAAAAATAAATGAGGTGATAAGCCTCCGATTATATATTATGTATTTAAAATGCGTGTTTGCATCGTGATTCTTCGAAGTTGTGCGAAAATAATTGAAGATTACTGAAAGCAGTTCATTTTTCCACAAAAGTTCAATTGGCGTTTCGACACTGGCTCTTTATCGGAGAAGTATGCCTGCTTCGTAACAGGCTAGCGCCACGTATCTGAACAAACTTACATACATAAATATGTATAAGTGTACATACGTACGTATCCGGGTGGTTGTTCTATTGAAAAGGCACATCACCTCACGGAAGAACCGATAAGCACACGTCGCATCGTCATCGTCAACAGTTCATGTCGTGTGAACAAAAAATGCGTTAGTTTGAATAGTATAATACTACTTGCGCGCCTTTTGTTATTGCTTACATACAAACATAGTATTACATATCTACACGAGTGGGTAATGTGCGGAGATCGCCTGAGAGATGATCAGTCGACGACCTGACTAAAGTTGTTGTCGTACGATTTTCTAATAAGCAGTCTGTCGCTCGCACAGTATCAGGTCATGTACTTTGTTTGTTTGTATGTTCATATGTATGTATGTGTGTGTGTTTGTTTTGACATTGTCAATGACGAAGCCAACCAAGTGCTGACCCCTACTGACTGTGAAGTGAGGCTTATCATCGGCTGATCTTGCCGGGCAGCTTTAAGTACGATCTCAGATGTTCTTGAGAATTTCGCTGGCATGATGATTTTTATTCACATCGATTGTGATTCAACATTAATAATTCTCTTTCTCTCTCCCTGCCTCAACACAGCCCCTTGTGGTCAAGCCTGATCAATTGATTAAGCGGCGCGGCAAATTGGGTCTAATTGGTGTTAAGAAGAGCTTCGAGCAGGTGAAACAATGGATCGGCGAACGCATGAACAAGGATCAAAAAATTGGCAATGCGGTTGGCAAACTGCGAAACTTTATTATCGAACCCTTTGTGCCGCATAGCGACGTAAGTATTGATTACTCTATATGTATATATTTATTTATTTATTCAATTTATATTTCACTGCATTTCAGGCCGAGGAAATGTACGTTTGCATCTATTCGCATCGCACAGCGGACACGATTCTTTTCCATCATCAGGGAGGTGTGGATATTGGCGATGTGGATGCCAAGGCGGTGAAATTGGATGTGCCTGTGGATAACACGTTAACGTTGAGCGACATAAAAACCGTTCTCTTGCAAAAGCTAACGAATGCATCGCAAAAGGAACGCGTTGCCAATTTTATACTGGCCCTGTACAAGACCTTTGCTGATTTGTACTTTACGTACTTGGAGATCAATCCGTTGGTGGTGACGGCCGATAATTTGTACATATTAGATTTGGCAGCCAAGCTGGACTCGACTGCTGACTTCATATGCCGTCCAAAATGGGGTGAAATCGATTACCCGCCACCATTCGGACGTGATGCCTATCCCGAGGAGGCGTATATCGCTGATCTGGACGCCAAGAGTGGTGCCTCTCTCAAGGTTACAACTTTATTGCCGATTAAGTGATTGAATACTAATTTCAAATCTGTTCTGCAGCTGACCATTTTAAATAGGAACGGACGCATTTGGACCATGGTCGCTGGCGGCGGTGCAAGTGTTATTTACTCAGACACTATTTGTGATTTGGGCGCAGCTTCGGAGCTGGCAAACTATGGCGAGTACAGCGGTGCTCCGTCCGAACAGCAGACGTACGAGTACGCCAAAACAATTCTAAACCTAATGACCTCGTCGCCAAAGCATCCCGATGGAAAGGTGCTGATTACGGGCGGCGGTATTGCGAACTTCACAAACGTTGCCGCGACCTTCCAAGGTGACTGATAGCCAGATCATGCAATCGAATCTGATATTCGATTCATTCATTGTTTATACCTTTTGACTAACCGTTCAAATGTTTTTTAGGCATCATCACGGCACTGCGTGAGTTCCAACCCAAACTAGTCGAGCACAATGTGTCAATATTTGTGCGCCGTGCTGGCCCCAATTACCAGGAAGGCTTACGTCGCATGCGTGAGTTCGGCAGCACTCTGGGTATACCGCTGCATGTCTTTGGACCCGAGACACACATGACCGCCATATGTGGCATGGCACTGGGCAAGCGACCCATTCCTCAGGTCGCTAGTGTTGAATTCTCAACGGCAAACTTTTTGTTGCCTGGCGGCCAACAGGCACAGGCCGATCTAAAGGCAGCCGCCGAAGCCAGCGATGAGCTTGGCGCCGGTAAGTGCTGAGCGATGGATGTTTTTACCCATATATTTATATATATTTTGTTATGTAAAATAGTTTCTAGATAAGATATGTGCGTGCTATCTATATAACATTTGCACCCAAAAATTGTAAATCGTCCCCCCTCCCCGATTAGCTTACTGTATTTGTATCTATGCTATGGACCTGCATTAACAATGTGCATTTATATTTCTTCTTTTTCTGTATTTTGTATGTATTTGCATTGACTGAATCAACATTGAACAACAACAACAATATCACCCACCAAATTAACAACAAACACACGCATACAAACACTCCAACTCAAAAAAAAAAAAATTGAAATGAACAATATATATACGTATCTATATATGTATGTATGTATATGAAAAAATGTGATTTGGCCGCCCTCCCTCCACCACAACTTCACATCGTAAACGCATACCGTCCACCACGCCCACCGTCGTCTACTGTCCACCGTTTAACTTCTGGCCGTTTGTTTGTCGTAATCGTAATTGTGTGTGTCCCGTATGTGTGTTTATTTGTATACTTTTGTGTAAAATCTGTTTCTCAAATAACGCGCTCTCCTCATCATCATAAAAATCGACTTGCCAAATCATTTGGGATCGAAAATTAAAGGTTTGCGCTCGACAGCACAATCGATTAAACTACCACCTATCTCGGCAGATGTGAGCGACGGAGTCGCCAACAATCATGACCATAGTAATGGAGCAAACTTAAATAGAAAGTTTTTCTCCAACACAACTAAGTCGATTGTATGGGGCATGCAACAGCGTGCGGTGCAGTCGATGCTCGACTTTGACTTCATTTGCAGGCAAGTAATCTTCTTCCCCCTAGCCCCTACACCCATTATCATCCATCTAATAATAAACAACTCTTTTTTCAACTCAACAGGCGCGACGAACCCTCAGTGGTTGCAATGGTCTATCCATTTACGGGTGATCACAAGCAGAAGTACTATTGGGGCCACAAGGAAATACTCATACCCGTCTATAAGAAGATGTCCGATGCGATACACAAGCACAAGGAGGTCGATGTCATGGTCAACTTTGCATCTCTGCGTTCTGCCTACGACTCGACGCTTGAGGTGCTAGATTTTCCCCAAATTCGCACAGTTGCCATTATCGCCGAGGGAATCCCGGAGAATATGACCCGCAAGCTGATCATTGAGGCCAACAAGAAGGGCGTTGCCATAATTGGACCTGCAACGGTGGGTGGTGTCAAGCCAGGTTGCTTCAAGATTGGCAATACCGGCGGCATGCTGGACAACATTCTACACTCAAAACTGTACCGGCCTGGCAGCGTGGCCTATGTCTCCCGGTCCGGTGGCATGTCCAATGAGCTGAACAACATCATTTCGAAGGCAACGGACGGTGTTGTCGAAGGCATTGCCATTGGCGGTGACAGATATCCGGGCTCAACATTTATGGATCACATACTGCGCTATCAGGCCGACCCTGAGGCCAAGCTGCTCGTGTTGTTGGGCGAAGTGGGTGGCACTGAGGAGTACGATGTGTGCACCGCCCTCAAGGATGGTCGCATCACCAAACCACTAGTCGCCTGGTGCATTGGAACCTGCGCCAGCATGTTCACCTCAGAGGTACAGTTCGGCCATGCCGGATCATGTGCCAACTCCGATCAGGAAACAGCAACGGCCAAAAACAAGGCATTGCGCAGTGCCGGCGCCTACGTTCCGGACTCTTTCGACACGCTCGGCGAGCTCATACACCAAGTTTACAGCGAGCTGGTGAAGACCGGTCGCATCGTGCCCAGGGAGGAGGTGCCGCCACCAACAGTGCCCATGGACTACTCGTGGGCGCGCGAATTGGGCCTGATCCGCAAGCCCGCCTCGTTTATGACATCCATTTGTGATGAGCGCGGTCAGGAGCTGATCTATGCAGGCATGCCCATTAGCGAGGTGTTGAACAAGGATGTTGGCATCGGCGGCGTCATCTCGCTGCTCTGGTTCCAGCGTTGTCTGCCGCCATATGTGTGTAAATTCTTCGAGATGTGTCTCATGGTTACGGCTGATCATGGACCCGCCGTGTCTGGTGCCCACAATACAATTGTTTGTGCACGTGCTGGCAAGGATTTGGTGTCCTCCGTTGTAAGCGGCCTACTCACCATTGTAAGTACTTTTGGCATACCTGAAGCGTTAAGGCGTATACTATTAATTGAAAAGCAGAGTGACCTGCAATTATAGGCAGATAGTGGCAAATCGTAGTACACATGTCCGTCTGTATGAACACCAAGAACTTATAAACCTTAAAAACTGGAGACACTACTCTTGGCTTCTACACTTCCCTTATCCATAAGGGTACAATGTTAATTACCAACAAGATTTTACATAGATCGGCGCAGATATCACACTACCTTGTTTATGTAGATATAAAAACAACTCTATCAACATACTTAATATGAAATTTCATTCACGCTATATCATATAGCTTTCCAAAATCCGTGAAAATCATATCACTCCACAAAAATTTGTTCGTTTTTTACAATATTACAGCTAAGATTGATGTCTGTGAGATTTTAATAGATCCCCAGAATAATCTCTATAGGAACTATTAATGCTTGTACAATGCTTATTATAGTTGAAGGACTGCCTGGCTAGCTCGTCACTTTTTTTTTACCTTGTTTCGGAAATATTCTTCAACCATCTATGTATCTTTGTTTAGGGTGATCGCTTTGGTGGCGCTTTGGATGGTTCGGCTAAACAATTCTCGGAGGCCTACGACACTAACTTGCATCCAATGGAGTTTGTCAACAAAATGCGCAAGGAAGGTAAACTCATAATGGGTATTGGACATCGCGTCAAGTCCATTAACAATCCGGATGTGCGAGTCAAAATCATCAAGGAGTTCGTTATGGAGAACTTCCCACAATGCCCGTTGCTCAAGTACGCACTGGAGGTGGAGAAGATCACCACCAGCAAGAAGCCAAATTTGATATTGAATGTGGATGGCGTTATTGCGACGGCCTTTGTTGATATGCTCCGCAATTGTGGCTCTTTCACAAGGTTAGTTAATCGGTTATAAATAATTAGTTGAATCGTTGGATTTTAATTGTTAATTGTTGTTCTTTTTGCAGTGAGGAGGCTCAGGAATACATCAATGTGGGCGCCATTAACTCGCTGTTTGTGTTGGGACGCAGCATAGGCTTTATTGGTCACTTTATGGATCAGAAGCGACTCAAGCAGGGTCTCTATCGCCATCCATGGGACGACATCTCCTATGTTATCCCAGAACAATATAATTAAGAGAAGAGCAAAGCTTGCCCAATGATGTTAAATTGTTGATGTTTGATGTTTTTGTAGTTAAGCACAGAAATGTTAAGAGCTATGCGTGGCGAGCATGGCCACAACTTCCACACAGATAGCTAAACGCATGATCACACACTCCATTAGTTCTCTAGTTGGGCTCAAGGCCGCGATGAAGCGGCGTGGTATTTCTATCCTTTCGTTTATATAATTTTTTATATACATACATAACTACCCTACTTATTACAGTGTCTCTCAGCTAAGCATTTACGAAAAGTTATTAAGTTATCACCAATTGTTGATTTTGTAAAAAGAAGTTTCGAATCTCTATTTATAAAATTCTAAAGCGAGTCGACTATAAGTATTGCAAAATACTTAAATGTTGAGCTTCAAAAAAAAAAAAAAAAAAAAAGAAAGTCCATATAAAACACATTTGATATTTTTATAATTTAGTTTGAATGCACATTTGTTTAGTCAACAAAGAATAAATTGTTGCAAAAATTGTATGCTTCTTTCGTTTCTTATTTGTACATACAAGTATAATACATACCACCTGGGAATGTTTATTTTAAATGCCATGCTCGCGTTATGTCTATGAATGACACAGACAAGCACTTATTAGAACTGCACCAGTTCCTGAGCACAAGCACTAGACGCATTAACTTGCATATTATAAATTAATCCACGGTCAGACATGCAAATAATTCGCGCATAAATTTGAATTGGTGAATACAAAACAGGCCTTTTGTAGCAGAAAACAATATTTCAGTACACTGCAGTTAACATTGCAACATACGCATAAAATTTAATACATCTGTGTGCAAATTGTCTGTCTGTCTTGACATACACTGATGCTTTCAGGCTCGCAGATAATTTACACACAAATTTGTCGTTGCAAATCCAAATGTGTTTTTTGTATAAGAAAACTATACATATTTCAGTATATAATTAACTGAAGTGGCATTGACACATTTATATAGCATTATATAAATTGTACGTGCAGATTATCTGCCTGTCTGACCATACCTTTAAGCTATGGTTAGACATTCAAATAATTTGTAAACAAATTTGTCTTATGTTTTCAAGCTAAATCCCAAGGAAGTTTAATATTATTATTGATTTGAATGTTTAAGAAAAGTGTTGGGTACATATTATTTGCCTGTCTGACCACAGCTTTATATGTTTATGAAACACTACTTAGATTTCGGTCGAGCCGAAATTGTGATTCCCTTCACAAAAGGTCTAAACTCAAAATGTGGCTTGTCCTTTTGCAATAAAACAACTAACGTCTTAAGCGAGACGCAGCCTGTCCGAAAGATTTTGTGAAGCGCGTTTAAATTCTCGCTATTTTAAATATGTATGTAAATTAAAATGCACTCGGGCACAGGTATTAAAGCGCACAAAATATCAGTACTAAAACAAATGGTCGTTTTTCATTTTTGTCGAGTAAAGTTCAATATGGAAAAGTTTTTTCCGATCCATAGACTCTGAATAGTTGAATCTCAGCCCACCCTGTAGGTATAATAGAAGCAGCACACTCCAACCAATCCACAGTCTTCGAATTTAATCATGTCAATCAGAGGATTTATTAATTTGGAATAACCATGGTAATTCGGCACCGGAAATCATCAGATCGAAGACGGAAGCGGATGGTTAACAAACTAAGAGCAAAATTATGCCGGAAACCATAAGATAATTGCAAAAACAATAAATATTCAGAAGAGCATACGTATTCCGCCGTATGTTATGAAAGCTGTACTTAGAGGCATAGGAAATCATTCAAAATATTCGGAAACAATATGATGATGAGTCGATTAAGACATTTACTGGAAAAAAGGTAATCTCTCCCCCAGATCGGACTATATGATGACGGGTACTCGTATATACAAAGATAGGTATGATTGGAGATTTGAAGAATGTAGTGCATTAAATTCCTCACCAAACTTGAGCCAGATTATATGATACTATATAACTGTTTAGCAACAATCGCCTAACTTTTTTGAATACACAGAAATGGACCATTAGTTTTAGAATCTTAAAGTAGGTTTTAGAGAATTTTACCATTTCTATACAGTATCGAGATCATGATTAATGCGAGCGAATACTCTTCTGATCTGTACAATAAAAACTTCAGGTATTTATTTGAAAAATATTTTAATGTCATGTTCATTCATTCAAAATACATTTCTTCACTTCTTGCTGTGTTCAATTTCGTTAATAATCTATAGGCGTTTAAGGTCTTGCACCAAAACTTTTGATTAGACAGTTGTGTTAATTGCAGTCTTGTTATCGAATTCATTTATACGAAGTGGCTAACAACAATGTAGTAATAAAAGTTCTAGTTAACAAAAACTCCGAAATTGCGTAAAAGCTGTATAATTTTCCAATAAACATTTCATGAATTTGTGTTTTCTTTCATTCAATTTGTTAAACGCTCTAACTACAGTTACAAGATAATGTGTTTAATTATATATATGTTATATATACCCATAAATATATATAGAGCTTATGTCTGGTTAATAAAGCACTTTTACAATAGCTCGAGCTAATATTTACATGTCATACACTGAGATACACGGTGCGAATAAAATTAATTTATGTGCTATATGTATTATTTACAATTGCTATAGACGAGCCAGATAAAGAAATACTTGAAAATGATTTTGAATTTCCCGTTTAGAATTAATTATAACTAGTCTAGAAACTATGTGTGCATTAATAGGTAGTGTTCTAGTATGTTTACATGACTTGTGGCTCCAAAGCTTCTTATGTACACGATGAAGATGTTTCTTGTCACTTTCCTAATAGGAACATGCGCCCTTACATACAAAGTTTAAAGTATAGATCCCCGGCTTGGTTACACTTGAGTTACTTAGAAGACCACTTAGGCTACTTATCTACTCTGTATTGTATGTATAGTATATATGAAGTATGCGTAAATGGTATATGTATAATTATAGATGATTTTCAGTCAGTATCAGGTCACCCAAGCCGAAATCCGAATCGCCCGGAGTGCGCCGATAAACTTCTTCTATCGCTTGGTATTAGGCAATCTCGTTTCGAGCGCTTCGCGGATTCTGCCCTTCTTGATCATTAGATTCTGTAAAATAAATAAGAAAACGATTAGAATTAGTCAAGCGATGCGTTACGAAACGATTTAGAAAAGAACGAAGAGGAACTAAGAAACAGTTAGACCTGCAGAACATTTTCGCTATAGCTTGGTACTCAGTTCAAAAGTATAGCTAGAGGTTGTTTAAAATTATTAATAACAATTGAAATTTCAGATTATTATTCTACACATTTCAAAACAAAACAAACTCAAATTTGTAATTTTTTCAGTAAAGAATTTTGAAGCTAAGCGATAAGTAATTCCTATAAAGCGGTTTGCAAATGCTGTCTTTATCTTTTAAAGATAATCGAAACTTATTTGGAAAACAATAGTCGATATTGTTTCTTGAAACATGCAACGAAGAAGAAACTTGAAAAAATAATGTTTTAAGTGTGCTTTGAAAAAAATCAACAGATTTTGAAAATTCAATTACAAAAATGGAGCAGATATAGTACTTTTCGGTAGCATCCGTATACTGAAGGGGACTTCAGATTTTCAATTCTTTGAACTGAATAGAAAGAACACAATGAAAATATTGCCTGATAGCTACATCCAGTAGTAGATGTACAATTTTTTGCGGACTCTAAATTCGACTCCTTTGAATACACAAAGTTTTTAAAAAAGTGTTTTTTCCATTATTTTCTGTAATTGTAATTTGCTTCTTGGTATAGAATAACCTTATAAAAGAAGGAATCTTTAGGGAAATTTTTAATCTACGATCGGCCGAGCTAGCTATGCAACAACACAAAGGAAAACAAAGAGAAAAGAGAAATAATAATATAAATTATTAAAAAAAAAAGAACTTGTAAATTCGAAAAGAAATGAACATTTCGTTCAGAAATCAAACCCAAAAATATATTTGAATTATAAATTTAAATAGTCCCTGACGTGTTGGCGATAAACTGATTAGTCCTGCTTTCGTTTTTGGAAAGCGTTCTAATGTCTACTAACTTAATTTAGAATACTTTTCAACTGAGCACCACGCCTAGGACGAGACAATGGCGGTTTACACTTAGGATGTGGCATGTTAGGCGATTATGGTTCAAAGCGTTCAAGAATGGATTTGCGCTTTTTTTCTGATGTAAGTGCAGTTATTAATTGTAAGTATGCATGAGTGAGTCTGCGGTCATACATGCAAATAATTTGCGCACAAATTTGTCCAATTTCCCAAGGGAACTTTGGAAAGCAAATTTCAGTAGTTGGCAGACAAACTAGATGCATGAAACCGACAAAGTTGTGTGCAAATTAATTGCCTGTCTGATCAAAGAGCAAGACTTTCGAACAAAACAGACGAGCGAACAATGCACGCAAACAATTTGGACAAGAATTTGGAACCCACCTAGCAAAGTAATAAAAATAAAAACACCGAGCTATTTACGAACGCGTAATGCTATGTCCGTGCATATAACTAGACTATCAGAATCAATGGATTCGACATCGTTTTTGTTATGCGATGGCGATGTTGCTCTCAAATGGTGTGCTGAATCGGGCCGAAACGAAATATACAAAATAAAGAGTCTAATAGAATTGGGTTGGGGATGGAGAGGTGTGGAGCAGAGTGGACTTACCGGCGACAGCGCGTACGGCAGCGGTTTTGTCCTTAATTATATAACAGGCGGTCAACAGGAAGAAAATGCCGCCGAGAACCTCAACGAAGGTCGTGGAGAAGAGCGCATATTGCAGGCCTTCGAATTTGATTTTGTTCGAGTACTCCGACTGGAAAGTAGAATGGTCCTTTAGTGATAAAAAAAACCCTTTGTTTTGATCAACTTACCGTATCATCCCGCAAGTTGATAATCGCTCTTTCCGTACCATTGCTCAATAATTGGCTTGTCTCGTTCACTGCCGTAAGGGCGAGACTTACGAGGCGATTGTCTTCTCGCGCATTACCCACCAACTGCTTCTTGATAGCTTCCGATATCTGCGTTCGCAAAGGAAAAAAACAATGTGTGATGACAATGGCATGACAGATTAACATGAGCCGGCTTGATTACTTACCGCTCCCACCAGATAAGGACTTCCGGCATCTCCGAAGGCATGTGAGATAAGAATTTGGAAGGCCTCGGCCGTGGAACGACGATTTGGCACAACAACGTACTATGCAAATAAATCGTTATTAGTGGAAATAAACAGCTATTTAATAATACAGCAAGCAAAAAGTGCAACAATAATAATAATAACAACAACCACAGCCAGTTTGTTAATAGGTGTGTTTGTGTGCGTGTGTGTGTGTGTGTGTTTGCGAAACCACAATCAACAATGCCAAATTAATACAAAAAGCTCTTAGTAGATGGAGCCACTCAAACAGCCATCGGGTGTGTGTCACCGTTTATGGTCGCGGGAACAGTTCTTCTTTGTTGGGGGTGCGCACGCCTGGGAACAGTTCGTTTGTTTACATTACATTGAAAAAATCGCGAACGCTGCTGTCGTCGCCGCTGCTGCCTTTCTTCTGCTAACACGTTCTCCTTTTGTTATTGTTTTTTTTGTAGATAACACGTTATGACGTAGATAGACCGCATTGACTTAACTGTTGACTGTGGCAATTTGTTGTGCAGTTTTGCGTTATTTACATTCGGATTTAAGACTAATAAGCAATTTGTTGTGTGCAAATATTAAAAAAAAAACATATACAAATATTGAGCTACAATTAAATTTTACTGTTATCATTAGTAATGGGTGTGCGATTGTGTGTGTATGTGTGCGAAGAAATGTTGATAACACAGACTGTCAGTGAAGAGTTTGGAAATGGAGTGTTTTGGCGAACTATTTCACCAAAGCCATCTGAATTTGATCATTTATCCCCCATAAATAGCTTTCTACAATCAAAGACCCTGAGAACTTCCAGCTGTTTTAAAAAGATTTTTAACAATCAAAGTACATTTTAGATTCTACAGTTTAGTATAAAAGGAAATTAGTCATAGTCTGATTTCCGGCTATTGCTTGAAAGAAATGAATCACGTAATAACGAATATGATTCTGATTCGACATAGGCCCTTTCTACATACATGTTTGGGAAACCTATACTCTATTTATCAATTTGTCTGTTTGGAGTCCAATTCTGATTTGTTTACGGAAAATATGAGTTCCATACACAAACAAGTTTGAAAGCGGATTTTAGGTAAAGCTCTGCAATTTGTAGACAGAAGGTTAATGTAGTTCTTTGTTTGTGCTCATTGAATGAAAACATCAGGCGATATGTGCCCGAAATGCCATTCAACAGCTGAGTTAATTTATACTGCTCGTGTGCCATTAGATAACATTTTAGTTGGAAAAGGAATACTTTGGTTATGAAAGAGCCACAGCAGCACGTACAATTTCTGAAAGTGTGTGTGTGTGATAAAGAAGTGAAAATAAATAAAAGACCGTACGATGGGGGCTTTGGGGTGCAATCATAGTGCGTCTTTAAATATTGGCACCAACAATCTATCTCTAAAAATATCATAGAAAAGCCAAAATATATGTACTATAAATGTGTACGAGTATGTACCAAAATCTGTGATGCTTTAGCGTTTTAACAGCTGCATCAGTTGTTCCCAAGCACTGATATATGGGAAACTGTCAATGCTTATCTCCCCCTCCCCACATCCCATCCTACTCCCTCTATTATCGCGAAAGCGTCATTGTGCTGCGAATATTTGTACTCTATCTGCTCCATCCACATTTAGTCTAGACTGCGAAAAAAATAAAATAAAATATGCGTCCTGCAATGCAGAACCATGTTGTGGGGGAGTGAGAACTGAACAAGTTCGCTGTAATTCAATATACAGGGTTATTCTCAAACTTGACTAAGTCGCCAAACTGATTAAATTAAAGCAATTCAATAATACAAGTGAATAGACATTCGCAGTTTCCTGTTCTAAATAGGGGCCCCAATTGTCTTCAAAAAATGCGGCTATGCACAATTTTTATCGGGATGGCCAATAATTATTCCCCTTTGGTTTGATTTTTGTAGAGTCTTCTGTTCTGATTTTATTTCTTTTAAGCAAAATCAAAACTTAAATAGCAATAGTATATTTTCTTTTCCTACAATAACTATTGCAGGTCAAGTAATCTAGAAGGTAAATGGTATTATTATTAGAATAAGAGTGATATTGTTCTATAAACAATAGGAGAAGAAACTATCGAAATCAGTAATTCTCTTTTATCAGCTGCCAAGAGCCGTTCCTTACAGACAAAGATATAACAAACAAAGAAACTATCTTTTCTCATTTCTAAATGATTGGAATTTTGGATTTAGTGAGGGTTACGCAATTTTCCTTTGATAACACAGATGAATTGTAATCGATAACTTAAAATTGATAGCATTATGGGTTCTCTGTAATTGCCGGAACACCCTCAATGTTTATATGCGGGTGTGACGTGTCCACAACCCTCGATTTGGGGCACGCTTTTTTGCCAGTCTTATAAATTGCAAGAAACTTTAATGCAAGTTTTTCTTTACCTTAAGGGTTGGCCCTTGAGGGATTGTGATAAAGGGGGTTGCAAAAATAGTGCAAAGGCACACATATGTATAGTATAGTATGTAAGTTTATCTTGTATAACTCATAAGAAGCGAATACGAATGAAAATTCAATACCTTACGCACATATAGTGAAAGGGATATGTTTGCGGGTTTGCTCGATGCGGCAGGGAAACCAACACCAATGCAGATACAAATGCGAGTTTTCATTTTAAAGAGTAAGCAGTTAGGTGGTGAAGCCATGAGACCAAAATTATTACAGTGTGTGGGTGGGTGTGTGTGTGTGTGTGCTTTACGCTAATAATAACAGTAAAATGTTAATTACAAACAATAATAATCTACACAAATGTGCAACAATATTCAACATTTTTAACAACAATTTTTTAAACAGTGTTTTGTGAAATTTTGAAAATACTTTTCTTCTTACCAACAAAATGTCCGCAACAATTGCCCAGTTCAAATTTAAAGCTAACTGACCAAAGAATATCAAAATATATGTGCCAGCGGTGGAATGATTCGTTATAAGGCAGGCACCGGTCAGCAGCGGCGCGCTCAGCAGAAGACCGAAGGCACAAATTGCGGGATCGGCGGATGGATATCTCTTGTGAAGGAATTGCGATAAGAACGAGCCCAGGGGTACGCCCAACAGTCCCGCAACCATGGTAATGGCGCCAAATTTGAATGCAACGCTATTGGGTTTTTTGTTTTGGAATAAAATATCTGATTAATTTCAAATGGTTTGCAAAAGCGTTAGAGTAGAGAAAGATCAAAATTATGCAAGGATATTAAGAGCGCGAATTGTGTTTAAGCCGCCTGGTTGTTGTTTTTGTTGCTACTAGTGCCAGTGCTTGTTGTATTGCCGGTACGGGCTCGCTTACCAACAGGATGTCCGCCACAATGGACCAGCACAGATTGAGGAACACCTGTGCGACAAACATGAAGAGGTAGCACAGAAAGGCGTTCGTGCGCGGCAACACGAGGGAGGCATACACCATGGGTGCCGAAAAGAGCAGTCCAATGGCGCATATATATGGATCACAGCCCTCAAAGCGGCGACGCCAATGTTGCGCCAAGTAAGAGCCCATAGGTACGCCAATTAGGCCTGCTGCCATGGCCACAAGTCCGAATATGTACGCAACTCTTAAGACGTAACAAATTTACCGATAAAGGTAAATAAAGCTGCTGACAAAATGCGCTAGAAATATGTTTAACTTACTCATCCACTTGCAAGTCCTCGTTGCCGGGTTGCATGCTCATGCCCAGATGGATATAGCTGGGTCCCCACCAGGCCAATGCGCCTGTGACGAACGCCACGCAGGTAAAACCGCATGTGGAGAGCATGAAGGAGCGATTCTTGACCAGGCCCTTGAGGTCATCCTTATAGCTGGTGGTCTCCATGTTGTGGGATCCTTCGCTGGCGCCACGTTCGGGATCCTTGATGAGCAATATAAGCAGCACAGCTGCAATACCCAAAATCGGTGTCACCCGCAACGCCCAGCGCCAATTGTTGGCCAAGGTGGCGGTCTTTGAACCGATTATGTAACTGCAAGTAGAGTTTGAATAAATATTTTAATTGAATTTTCTTGAAATAATGGGCGAAACAGTGTCCATATAACGTCCATTAATTCCCTAAAGAGACAGTAAAATAAGCATTTAACGTTTTCTAAAGCAACTATGCGACAGCACCGTTTGGGAAACTGAAAGGCTATGCGCGTCTCAAAGCCGCAATTAGCCAAAAATTTTGGAATTTTAAGGCAATATTCCACAGTAAAACAAAATATCGAATATCTATAATATCGAAAGTAAACTTATTGGGCTACTAATGAGCGCAATATAGCATACTGTGCTAATCAAGTCTGTTCGAACACAACGCCCAAAACTACTTGTAGTAGTGCTAGATCTAATTTGAAGTGGAAGCAATATCTCCTATGATTAACCTACGGAGAAAAAGGCCCACATGGGTTCTACGGTTGGCAAGTTAAAGTCTAGCTAAGCATAACGGAAATGGAGTATTAGGTCCCAGCCACAAATTGTTTAAGGACTAACGTTTACTAAAGATCCTAGGGTGGAAGACTTTCCTTTACTTTGTAATAGAGTAAAAGGGAAATACTGAAGCTAAAATTAGCATAAATTATGGTATTGACGCGTTCGAGAGGATTCATTAGTAAAGGCTTTGGCACTGGTTGTAGAACAAATACAATACTAATACTTAGGTCCCTCAAAAAAATGCAAATATATTCCATCACACCAATGAAATTAAACATTTTTTTTATGGGAATGATAAGAATGACAAATCTGCCTTTTGTCAGTAATATAATTAGTTCAGATATGTCTATCTGATTTCAATTGCTAATCTAGCTTTTGTTTGACACTCATGAACTGGAAACACTGCTCGTATTATCGAAAATTCCAGTTGCCATTTGCCAATTGACACTAAACTGTAACCAGGCATCAATTGACCTCACTTTAAAGCTCAATTGAGGACTTTATCATTTGATTTTGACTGCTAAAAATATTTACATAAATAAAATTGTGCAATTAAACTTTAAACTACACACAGACAAATGAAGCCGAGGCTGGTCTCTCGTGAGCTTTTAACACTCACGCGACATTTCTCATGAACCCCAATGATTTCTTAATCAAGAACAAATTGAAAAATCAAATCGACACAGCACTTTGTACCCATCAGCCGATCACACGGATCGAGACAACGCACCGCACTCACCATTCACATATATACATATATACTTATATGTGCTAGTATGTACTATATAGTACATTACAAACAGATTCCGTTTCATACGTTCAACAATCAACCAATACAATCAACATTTTAAAGAGACTTCAATCAGGCAGCAGTTGTTCCACGTGACGATGGCGATTAAACGATGTGGTCTGATAACGACTCGATCTTGTCATACAACATATTTGAAAAACTACCTCCCCACGTCTATTTCGAATGACTAATTGGTAAATAGTGCCAGTAGGCCGAATGGCGTAACTTTGATCGCCAAATGGGTCATTATCATTAAAAACTTACCCAAAACCTGAGCCCACTGGTATGGCAAAATAGAACAGGGCCAGCATTTTTGAGCGCATATCGTTCACGAACATATCGGAGATAATTGTTGGCGCTATCGTGCTGTACGAGGCCTCTCCGATGCCGACAAGGGCGCGGAACGTGATAAACCAGCCATAGTTGGGCATGAAGGAGCCGAGTAGTGTCGTCGTCGACCACAATGCCACGCCCACAGCCATTATCCAGGGGCGTGAGTGGCGATCGCCCAGGTAACCGAATAAGGGCGCAAACACCATATAGAAGATGACAAACGCTGTCTGTAGCAGGCCGGCAGCATCATCAGCTATTTCAAAATCCTTCTGTATATCGCTGAGCACGCCTGCAAAAAAAATGTCGAAATTAGAAATCAGCTGCTCAAAAACACGTGAAAAATAGGGTGAGTTAGGGGCAGCTAATTGCTAGGCATTAGCTGTTAATTAATAGAATAAATAATGTATGTATATCGGATACATACGATTGATTCATTGAAGCGTGTGCTGCTAAATGATTCACAATTAGCAGACATTAATCAAAAATCCATTAAATTCCAAAACTATATTGATTTAACACCCACGTTCTTTACGCACAGTCACTATTTTTATTTTATGATTAATAATTGATTATGCAATATAGAATGTGACTAGAGGACTGGGGATAAAGGGATTAATTGAACGTATAAATGCTGGGGATGACATGATTCCAGAACTTATGCTAGAGGACTCTGCACAGCAGTTATCTTGATTTGTATTCAGAACTGATACTATAATTTTGCATGCTGGGAAACATCTCGTAAATGGCTAACGAATGTCAAACTTTTAATTGCATAATGAATATGACGAGACGAAATTTCTATGACCACTAATTGATATTTCTTAAGAAAGAAAGCATAAGCTGAACAGTCCAAGAATAATAAAAGTATAATATGCATGAATCGCACATATGTATAATCATGTATGCAGAGATTTGATTTATATAAATCGTCATACTAGATTTGAGTTGGGATTCTCTGGTCCCCAATATCTGTGAATCAATGATGATTAGAAATTAGCGGGCTACATTTCTTCAAGTCTATTCAAAAACAGGTTGCTTGAAAATTAATTTCTATTTCCCTCCAAAGCCCATAGCAGAATTTTATAATCGTGTGAGGGCTTAATGTCAGCATCACCTTTCACCGACTAAATGCAAAAAGTTTCGTAACCCTAAATGCATATATGCATATTTCGGTTTTGCATCATAAAATAATGCAAAATAGCCACATTTCGAAAAGCAAACAGAACTCGGAATACAGAATTCCAGCGATTTACGAGCTTTTTTGCTTAACAAGATTACTATACAAACATAGCACCTGAATGCACAAGGTTCATGGTACGCTTCACTAACACGCGGATATGCATGCATATGTATGTATACTATATACATACTCTATATTGCAATATTTAAGACCCAAACGACCTTAAGCAGTATTGGCTGATCGTGAATAAACATATTGTTTCCTACTCTGCCACCACCCAAGCAATTCAAGCCTAGCAAGTTCGCGATACAGTTTTGGGGGCTTGGGACCGTCTTCAGCCAAACATTTTTGAAAGCACATTGGCCTTTGCAATACACAAAATTGCTCAAAATATGACAACAACAACAAAAATCACCGAACATCTTTGGTAGTGCGCCAGCACCCAAAAATACGAAAAGCCATAATACACGAAAGAAACGAGATCAGCCAAGAGCACAGAGCGGGGCCGGCAGGCAGCGTACGAATGAATACATGGCCAAAACCGAAAAGCTCAACAAGTTGCGGTTCGGGGGCCGGCAGAGTGCGAAAGCGAGCCGAACGAGTGCCGCGTTACGTGGCGCAACCCTAACGAACGAACGAGCGAACGAACGAGCGACCGAAATAAACAAATAAACGAAGTGTGGAGTGAATCAGACGACGACAGACGTTGTGGTTTTTGTTTAATTATTTCATTTTCTGGGTCTTTTTACTCATTTTGCTTTTTGAGAAATTTATCGTACGATATTTTCAACCAATCAGCGCGTTTGTTTAGCCAGTGACGTAACGGTTAGAGGACGCCGCGCGATAAAAGTGCACAAATATATTTATGTACATACATACATATGTACCCGTATGTATGTTGTAGACGTTGCTATTGTTGTTGCGATGTCTGACGGGTGTGCAATGAGCGTGTGATAGAAATCGTCAAGACCTTTGCGCATGCCAATACTATTTTGTTTTTGCTATTATTGTTTATAACTGCTGACGGGCCGCCTATCCAGATGCAGCCATACACACAAATATATACATACATAGTTAGAAGGCTTGGCGGATGTACGTATGCACTTACAAAGATATCTATACACGAATATGTATGTATGTACTTGTATGTATGTATGTATGTAATGCAGTACAGTGCGGCTTGGCAAAGTTTTTCTTGTACCCTTTTCTCTTGCACTTTCTAGTAGAAAAATGATGATGTTTAGTTTTTAGTAGCTCCCAAAAGAATACGTTATTATTTAATAAACTCTACTTAAAATTGTTGCCATAAATTGAGTTCTTATAACCAAATGCCTAACAAAATCAGTGCTGTACTATTCAGTCCTCCCCCCTTATCGTTTTCATTTATTTTATTCACTTTCTCTTGCAAGAAAAATTGTGCGCGGTATTTTCGAAAAGAAATCGTGACGAGCAACTTGTAAATTAGGAAATCGATCAAATAAGTAACAAGTTGCTTAAGTTTATCGATAAAAAAATAACGCATTCATTCATAACTGTTGGGCAGTATTTCGTTTTCTGTTAAATAGTGTACTAAAAACAATTTATTAGTTTATTTTATTAATTAATTAATGCAATGTGGTTTGCATTATCAAGACAGTACTGTATTTTTTTTCAATCTTTGCGAAAGTCACTGTAGACGCATAGAGGTTTGTTTTTAGAACTATCCGCCAGCAACAGATGAGACGGGGCCTGGTGCTCAATACTACATACTATGTGCCGGTTATAGAAACTTGCGCACAAAACAAAGCGGCATTTTGAGAACCGGTTTCTCTACACTAACCGCTTTATTTAGCACACAGCGTAAGCTTGCGATCTAAAGCGCCTATGCCGGCTGAGACGGAAATAAAAACGCCAACTAGAGTCGACTCCACTAGCGGCAAGTACAACACCAACACAGAGACGTGGTGGTCGAATGTTGGAATGCGCTCATTACCATGAATGAAAAAAATTGTTGTACTGCTAAATAGCAAGAGATTGGAGCTGCGGCCTTGACTGCCGCGTATCTTTTAGAGACTTTCTTGCTAAAAAGAGAAAAAGTAACTGTAGAAGTGGCTGGGCTAGCTGGCTGGCGTCTTCATTTCGTCTGAAGGCCTTCAGTTGAGACATGTGTACATACATACATACATACATACATATGCCTGAATAAACGCTCATATAATAAAAATAAATAACTAAAACTTTCCATTGGAAAAAGAAACTACTTATGAGATACTTATATGTATGCATGTATATATGTATGTAGCTGTGCTACTAATTGAGTCTAAAAGCTGAACGATTTTGTATGACAAACTGAACCATCCTTCATATGTGTGTATGTGTATGTATATTTATTGGCTAGGTCAGGATACACAACGAATGTAAATATTGATACAACATTAATCAGAAACTTGCACGCCTTGCCAGCCAGCTAATGTCATATAATACACCAAATAGTCTCAGTCTGTTGATTGTTGTGCCACTTCTCGGATTATTAAGACTACTATAGTCAGCGTTTGTGTGTTGTGGGTGTGGTTGCTAATTCAATTTACATGAGCGGTTCGAAGAGAACTTGCACATGCAGTTTTCCTTTGACGACGACGTTCGTCTTACACGTCAATCCACGCGGTCGTTGACGCGGAAAACTGTGAAAATGCAAATTGCAGCAATGTTGCAAATTGAACAAAATGTGTGTATATCCAAGAATACAAAACAAATATAATTCACCAAAGCATTTGCTTTTTATTTTTAAAACTTTTTATTTTGCTCGTTCGTTGGCCTAATGGGGTCTTTAAAACTAATTAGCATTTCGCAATTGTTAAATCGAAAATGAGCTCAGACATTTGCGTCCAGCCACATATGTACATATGCACATACATATGTATGTAGAGGTGAAGGTGCAAATACCAATAAAAAAAAAGCTCATGCGACTCGCAAGTTTTCAAGTGCATTATATAAGTATATGTAGAACAATGCAAAAATGGAAAGAAAAATATACCAAAGAAGCATTCAAAAGTTTACAATTGTTTCCCATAAATGCAGCAAATTATTGTTAAATGCCACGTGCAACAAGTGAAAGGTGAAAGTGGTCGTGCAACCACATGCATTTCATTTAATTTTGTAGCAAAGATATCACATACATTTCTACACATTTCGTTCATCCCAAAATGTGCAACTACTTAGACTTAGGCCAAATGAACAAAACGAAAGTTGTGTCGAACGACAAAAACTTTTAAAGTAGTTTTGGGAAACACCTGAAGCACAAATACAATAAATTCACATGCAAAGCACGGGCACAGGGCCCAAATAAATAAATGCAAAATACGAAACGAGATAAATGTCGTAAGTGTTGGATCGAATCGGTGTGGTATAAGTTTTTAAATATACATACAAAGAAAAACATTTTCGAGTGAACTGCTGAGTGAAATTATTAACCTTTTAAGTAGCACATCCAATATTTTTTAAGTATAAGTCGCCTTTGAAGAATGTTTGTTGTTTTCAGCGTACCCTTTTATAAGAAATTCATGTTCGCTGTTTAATTTGGTAATTATAAATAGATATTTCTGTTGAGCAATTGGAATGTTTGAAATTATTTATAAAAATAATATTTTAATTACTACATTTGTTATTGAATGAAATGCTTTTCATCTCTTAATGAATTTATATAATATCCTGTTTATTTTGGTTATTTAACAACTTGTGAAAATTCTTGAAAAGTTAGCTTAAGTCAACACTTGTTCAGTTCAGAAATCGGTTATTAAATATGGTATTAATATTATATATTTTTGGAATACTTTTAAATATCATAAGTGGCTTCTATTTCTCTTATAATAATGCAAGTTTTTTGATTAGCTCTTGAGTTTGTGAATGCTTTATCACACCTCCAATCAATAGACTCTGCTGATGGCGCTTTAAACCAATTGCGTCGAAAATATTTCGTAAATGGATACTTATGGTTTGTTTGGAACACAGCCAAAAGCATTACGTAGGAAAAATACGACCACAGACCTAAATACAAAAAAGATACTACGAAGCAAATCGGTTTCTTTAAATACATCTTAAACGATAGCTGCCTTTTAAAAAATTGGTATATCGGGGTCTTTCTGTATAAAGTTCGACAACAAAAATAATTTGTATTTATGCTAAAATGTCAACAACAAAACCCCGCAGGCTTCAGACCCCTAAAGAATAAAATGCATAAAGAGCAAAAAAGAAAATTAATTAATGCATTATTCTGAAAATTAAATTAAGCCCGATCGTCTTAGAGAAATCATGCAACCTGCTCACAAGAAGAACAATCATTTGTTCATTAAAAGGCACCCAAATGAGTTCGCTCGGAGGCCACATCAGGTTAAAAATAATAATGAATGCATATCGACACATCAGGTGATGATTTTTACCATATGTTTTGCATATTCTTCGTCTACTCTATGGACTTTTAATTTGGAATTGCAGTTGAACCTCGACTTTCCGGAACTCTTTAAACGGGGAACATTTCTTAACCGGGGTGCTAAGTGATTATATTTATGAGGTATACATTAACTGTGATTTATCTATTTTATCCGAGACACACGACTGATGAAGAGACTGCGACTTTGAATCGCACTGTTTCTATTATATTTGAAAACGAAATCGTAAACTTGGTTCAGAGGCCCAAAGTGAATGAGTTTAACTCAAATTCAGACCGAGGAATTACGAAAAAAGCCCACCCCTTTACTTGAAGAGCTATCAAAAGCTAAAGATAGTCTACCTTAAACGATCTTTTTAAATAAATGTACTCAATGGTAATGATTTCTACATGTAAGATTGACATTTTCCTGTTACAAATAAATGAACATAAGAACAATACGTCTAAAAACTTTAACACATTAAGTTGGGGAAACTATAGCTTTAATATTTTTTAAGATCTTCGCAGTCATACTGGCGAACGGAGAGATAAGTCCTAGACCGACGCATCTAAGTATTACCACTTGCTTAAAAAACGATTGGCTAAGATTTATAACAGTACGTATGTATTTGTGAAATAAAGTTAGATAAAGTTATTCTTGTTGATGATTAATTTCTTGACGGTTTCCTATAATTTGCAATCAATAAGATACCCCACCAAATGCATAGAAACCAAAGAAAAATAATCAATATAATCAGATTTGACAACGAAACTGCGCATTGGACGGGCATTAACATCATGTGATCTGATCACATCTGTTATCGAAAATTAGTTTTTAAGACTTTAATATTTTCTACTGTTGGGATTTTTGTGTTCTAGTACCTCTTTGGCGTGCACTCATCAGTTGGCTCACAATTTCATGGCCCTGTTAAATTTATAGCCAAAACGTTTTGCACATTTTGCCGAGCAGCGCGTGCCTATCGAACCAAGGTTGTGCATATCAGAGAAACATTTTTGGAAAAAGCTGGAGATAATCGGCTGCAGCCACGTGCTATTTCGCCAAATAGACGAAATCGCCCATAAATATTGTTGCCACATGTGCTGTGAAAAGGGAATGAGCCGTGCTTCTTAAATACTGTTTGTTTGCATTCTTTGGCTTAGCTCGTCCAAATGATAGTTGAGGCAGCCCAGCGACTGTTTATATTCCGATAGTATGTATATAGTACCTCTAATTGATAAAGTAGCCAAGGCTATAGCACAGATAGGAGGGAGGTAGTTGTACTAAAAGCCTTGGGACGCCTACGTTTTGTTTATTTTGCTTTTCATAACAATTTGTGTCGCTCGCTTTTACACAAAAAAAAAAAAAACAACATATATATAGCATATTTATATATATATACAGATATATCGTATATATGTACATACATGCCGATATTTACATACAAGTATGTTGGCAAATTTTATACTTAAATTTTTGTTTGGTTGACACATTTTTACCATTCAGTTCAACGCCAACGTATGGCGGCAAATAAACAAGCAAAAAGTATGAATGTGAATGGCTTAAAATAAGTGTACATCCGTAAAGAAATGGCACGCATACATACATGTAGATGTATACACATATGTCTATATAGAAAGGAAAAAATGCAGCGAACAATCGATTTAAATGATTATTTTTTTTAATTAAGTGCAGCGAAAGCTTGTAAAAAATTGATTTCTATATTATCGGATCTGGTATTTTAAGTTAAGCTTTGCAGCAAATTTATAAATGTTATTCATTTATTTCAAAACGACATTTGCCAAAACTAACTTAATTATATAAATATATTATTTAGTCGGATAAATACATATCAGTGGCTAGAGAATAAAAGGCAATGTAATTTTTTCATTAAAAATAAACACTCGAAAGACAAAATAAATAAGACTCGAGCAGCTGTTAGATAAAAACTATTATAAATCCAAAACTTTTATTTTTTTTTACATTTCAAAAATAGCTTCCAAGCTCTACATTTTTCAAATAAATTTTAAAAATTTCCACTACACATTTCCGACCGCAAATTTTGATATCTTGCATTCACTTATATAGTAAAGCCTCTTCAATGGTTTGATTAAAAGTCATACGATTGTGATACGAGTGGAATTTCCTGTGCTGAAGGCCCTTTGTGCATAAAAATGTTGACTTTAATCTTTTATTGAAAAATATACTCGACGAGCAGAAACCGGCGAACTGCTGATTGAGCTCAGAACTTAAGTTCAGGTTCATGTTCAAACTATAAAAGAGGTTTGCACATTATTATTAATTTGAATTACACATTAGTTGGCAAGCAAAATGTTTCGTTATACATAATGGGCTTGTGTAAGCCTAACTAACCATATGCGGGTAATGGTATTTCAGAGAAGAAAAAAGTTACACCATTGTCATTTAAATGTAGGCAGCGACTTTTATTTAAAAATAAAACTGTAATCGCAATAAACAAGTTGTTGAAACATCACGCCATACTCAGCCATAGTAGTTAGTCACACATAAACTATTGTCATGATACACGCACGTAATCGCAGCTTATTATTTTTAAAACAAACAGACGTATTTCTAAAATAAACAAGCAACTGTAAGCTGATATCGCTTTACTTTTAAAGCAAAAAGGTCATAAATGTGTAAGTACTTGTAAGCAGACCAGGCGATATCCCGGATAGTTGGAACTACCTCCCATAGCTATTCAGTTGCAATACTAAGCTAGACATTAATGGGAAATTCTATTCAATCACGAGCTCAGTATTTTGGGGGCATGTATCAGACCATGTCAGGCGCCGACTTCGCACTTAGCTAGTAATTCGTCAAGTGTATGCGAAATTAGAAAACTTCTTGAGTTTTAACTAAGGCCTTTGATTGATTGCTGCGGAGCAGTGGAAATGTTTTCTTTGTTAGGCCACTAATGCGACGTAACAACGTATACGGAGGTTTATCGTTAAGATAATATTTAACGTATGATTCAAATGCAAATTCCATTAGTCATTCAGATGTGTATGGCGAATATTTTCGAAACAATTTATCGTATAATAATAAAAAGTGCGTCAAACTTGTTGCCGGGTGGGTGGTACAAAATAAATAAATTGAAATGCTGATGCTGTCATGGTTTTATGTTTAAGCATTTTTTATTATATGAGGAAAAAATGTAAACCAAACATTTCCCTTAAACACTGCACTTGACACCAAAATGTCAAAGAACTAGAGAAGACGATCAGGATCAGCAGGCAGCCACAGCAGGCCTCTGACGACAACAAGATTGCGCATCAGATGTGCCTTGAGATTCTTTTTAAGATAATACATCTAGTATTTGGAAGCAAACATCACGTTGCGCACTTGACTTGACGTCACGGAGAGACGGCGGCGTTAATAGTGGCTACAAGCACGCAACCGACACTTGACTTCAATTAGGGAAAGTGACGGTGGGTGCAGTGTACAGTAAAAGGCGGGTAGCTTTTAACTACCAATAATTTTAATAGAGAAGAGACTTGTAGAGAATGCGGGTCACACTTCACACAAATATTAATTCTATTATAGTGCAAGTAATTGGAACTTACCCGCAATTGTGAAACGGTCCATGTAGTTAATAAGATTAACGAAACATAAAACCGTAACTGTGAACCACTGTGAGCGACCAACATTCGAAAATCGGACCATTGTTGCTGGTACTGTGTCAATTCCGTCTACAGCTCCTCGTAAGGGGCGCTCCTCTATGCTGTCGGAGTCTGATGAACTGACCAATTGTTGTGACGAGTTTGTCGGAGGCAGTCTGTCTGATGTGGCTACATCAACGTGGCTGCCACTCCCGCTGCTGCTGTTGCTCATCGCCGGATTGTCCATAGCTTCGGTGGGTAGCTTTTTATATGACTGTTGCTGTTTGTGCGACATTCACGTGCCTTCCACTTGCACTCTTCTACACACACACACACACACACACAAGCACCGACACACCCAATGTATGGAAAATCAGCAACAACACTAACAAAAACCCGTTGAAAGTTTTGCAGAGTTTATTATAATGGCAATGAATGTGGCAGCAAAACAACGCGGCAAAATATTTTTGCACACCAACACACACTAATGTAGGTAGAGACGCGCGAACACGCGATTGACGAAAGCAGTGGGAAGTGGAGATGCGAAAATGTGTTGGTGGCAAGATTTCTATGCGGTCGCCCAAAATACTTTGGCAACGTTTCAAATCGATTTAAATCCGCCCGCTTCTGTTCACGTACAGTTTTGCAATTTATCAATAAGTGCACTTTATTCGCGTATCACTTAAGTAGACTAATATATGTAGAATATGCGGCGCTTATAGATTAAAGGAATTTAAGTGCATTTGCAGTGCTTCTTTTTATCCCGTATTTATATTCCGTCACACACGTCCGCAATCTTTAGCCGAAACAAGTTAACTGTCGCAAGTCGCGAGTAGCAACTAGCGAATGTAAAACAAACAGAACCAATCGAATATCAAGTTAGAGGCATTTATTCGGAAATATATATCGATTACGTTGCCACTTTTTCGATATCACCTGGATGCTGCCAGTTTCAATTTCTTTTTATGATCTGGCAGCCCAAAGTCTTTTAAGCTTTAGCTGTTGAACGATTTAACTAATGAAATAAATGGTTTCTGATTGCTGATTAAGATACGACTGTGTTTATAGCTAATCTAAACAGAATAACGTAACGTCCACTTTCGACTTCTGTATAACTATTCTGAAAAGCTAGCAGCCCACTGGCGGCTGGTTTTAATACTGCAATTTATTTATATGCTATATATGTATGTACATATATATTCGAATTTGATACAACTAAAACGAAGAAAGGTACCCCTAACGATTCCACATCCTTATTAACGGAATGTACTAATCTTTTGAAAAATCTGTGTATTTTAGTATATGATGATAATATGTGATAAGTGAAGAGCCCGATCAATCAATTTCCATTTCATCTATACGCCCGCGCACTCGATTTTTTCGCTTATTTTTTTTAGTTGGTGGGGGCAAGAAACTTTCCAGAAACTCAATGGTGCTCAAAATGGTTTCGGAGCTTACATTTCCAATGTAGTTTTTATCAAAGTACACTAGCGGAGCGGCAGTCGCACCTAGCTTATCGCAATTGCACTGTCGATATTTTGCGTTGGGAGTTTCCGTTTCCGAATCTGTTTCAGTTGTTTTATCTGCAATTATAAAATCTGCTCTATTTTGTGGCAAATCTCAATTTTTAAGGTCTGCATACCAAACAGTGGCCGAAAACATTCCTTGACCTGTATCCATTTAGTGCAAGCTTGTTTGATGATGCTATCATTTTGCTTAAAGAAACTTCTGGCGGCATTGTCCACCCGCGACTTCATATATCCCGGCATATAGGGCCATTTGCCCTTAGCGGCGTAGAAACAAATTATGTCTGTAATAATTTAAAGAAATTTAAAAGACAGACTTTGAAAAACAAGTTCACACACTTACAGGGCACGTGAAAAAAATTCAGGAAGGTTCTCTGATAATCTAAGCTCGATATTACATGAATACCACTTGATTGATGTTTTTTTTGCCCAATTGTGTCGGGTAGTTCGGGATTTTTCGGCTGCGTTAAGGCAAAGGGTATTTCCTCAATCCGAACGCTTTGCAAGTATGCTTCGCTCAGAGTAAGCAGAAAACACCAAACAAATATTGGAAAGATCCAGAATACAATTTTATGTCCCAATTCCATAACGATAGTCTGTTCCCGTGACAGTCTAAAGTGCAACTGAATTGTTTCCCACAGGAGCACAGAGTTTTAAAGCACCTTTGGATTATTCGTGACAATTTATTGATTTAAATTACGCCAAATGTTAACATAAATAACTTGCATGTGTTAGTCCCATTGCTGGACACCACATGCACAAACATGCATACAAATCGTCAGCCAGCGCTTAAACAGTCATTGAACTTAGTTATACTTATGTACAATAGGTTGCACACAATAAACGTGAAAGGGGACCAATAACCTGTATCTTATTAAAACACAGCTAACGCTAATATCAAACAGTTAGGGTTTAAATTAAAGTTGGCCATCGCTTCCTCTATAATATTAAATATTAATTGATATTTTCAATTGCGCACCCGTCTACAAATTAATTAATTGTTGCTAAAGCTATAAATATGTATATATTGGGCATTTTTAGCGATGAAGCTGCTCACATGTTTCCTGACAGCATTGTACACGATCTGAAATATTATGTAACCGAAAAATGACAAGAAAAATAACTAATAAAACATTACAATCGCAATTATATGTAGTGTTCAACTAATCATGGATATGTGTCTCGTTCCTGTCTGGGCTAGTTATGATTCTTCCTTGCAATAATGCTAGTGTTTTCGTTGCCCTTAATGTGCCCGTGATGTCATAGAACCACCTGGGCTGCCCAAAGCTTTGTTTTTCAAGTTCAATTGTGGAGCAATTTAGTCTAATAAGTAAGGTTTAACTCCCTGCCGATCGAACTGGGTCCATAGCCTTGTAGAGAGCAAAGCTTCCGATTGCGCAGCATCTCCAAGGCTATGGTTTTACTCTTGTACTACCCGTAAACCTGGCGCTCATATTGAATCAGACTGATCATGATATATATGCAGGGTGTGCCATCTTTTATGTAGGTATGTAAACATTGAATATCTTTGAAAATAAACAACCGATTTTCAAGTATGAGATATTTTTATTTAATTTGCTTCTGTACAAATTCTTCAGACTAATTTTTGAAAACAACATCAATCAAGTCAATCGGTTCACTAATGACAAAAATATTCAATATTTACATACCGACATAAAAGATGGCGCACCCTCTACTTTGGCGCTCTGTCACTCCTCTTTTTGTGGGTTGCATACATTGGCACTCAACTAGTATACCCTTTTACCGTTTGGCTACAGAGTACTTATATGAAACCCGCTTTAACATCCTTAATAAAAGACTGTACTAATGGCTTTCAGAAATTTGTGTATTTTGTGTAGGGCCCGATCAATCAATTTCCATTTCATCTATACGTCCACGCACTCGATTTTTTCGCTTATTTTTTTTAGTTGTTGGAGGCAAGAAACTTTCCAGAAACTCTATGGTGCTCAAAATGGTTCCGGAGCTTACATTTCCAATGTGGTTTTTATCAAAGTACACTAGCGGAGCGGCAGTCGCACCTAGCTTATCGCAATTGCACTGTCGATATTTTGCGTTGAGAGTTTCCGTTTCCGAATCTGTTTCAGTTGGTTTATCTGCAATTATAAAATCTGCTCTATTTTGTGGCAAATCTCAATCTTTAAGGTCTGCATACCGAACAGTGGCCGAAAACATTCCTTGACCTGTATCCATTTAGTGCAAGCTTGTTTGATGATGCTATCATTTTGCTTAAAGAAATTTCTGGCGGCATTGTCCACCCGCGACTTCATAAATCCCGGCATATAGGGCCATTTGCCCTTGGCGGCGTAGAAGCAGATAATATCTGTAATGGTTTGAGGAAACTGAAAGCTAGCGGCTTCTGAAAACACATTTCCACACTTACAGGGCACACGAAAAATATTGAAGAACGCTCTCTGATGCTCCAGGCTCGATATTAAATGGATACCACTAGATTGATGTTTTTTTTGCTTAATTGTTTCGGGATTTTTCGGCTGCGTTAAGGCAAAGGGTATTTCCTCAATCCGAACGCTTTGCAAGTATGCTTCGCTCAGAGTAAGCAGAAAACACCAAACAAATATTGGAAAGATCCAGAACACTATTTTATGTCTCAGTTCCATGACGAAAGTCTGTTCCCGTGACAGTCGAAAGAGCAACTGAACTGTGTCCCACAGGAGCAGAGCGTTTTAAAGCACATTTGGACTATTCGTGGCTATTTATTGATTTAAAGTGCGCCAAATGTTAACACAAATAACTTGCATGTGTTAGTCCCATTGCTGGACACCACATGCACACAAATCCGTACCATCAAACGGTGCTTAGACAGTCATTGAACTTAGTTACATGTAGGTTGCATTTAAATATACGTGACTATACAGACACATACTATAAAGGACCACTAACCTATTTACCTTATTTAAAAACAACTAAAGCTTATATCTAACAGGCAGGGTTAGGATTAGAGTTGGCCCTCGCTTCCCCTAGAATATTGTTCCACAGTTTGGCACGAGCGACTGGAAATTTCTTTGATATTTTCAATTCCACACCCGCCTCCGAATTGGTGAATTCTTGATATTCGCAGAAGCCAGTGGGGCGCAACTTGAAAAAGTTCTCCGTGCAGGGCGTAAGAGGTTCGACGATTTTAGGCTCGCTTTAATGGAGTGCAAGCTCAGTATTAGACTTCCTTAAATTGATTCGGCAATTAACAAATGCTCACCCATATTTGGCAAAATGTACGAAATAGTCCACAATTGTCTGTATGGCTTGAGCGTCTGTTGAGTGGCGTCCAAAATCGGGGAACAGCATGGGACTGCGAAAAAGATAGATTAAACTGTCGCAATGGACTACTCCATAGTTGCGTGCTGGTTTCACGCTCGTATAAATCTGCGTAAAACTATGAGGTCCGCTGTAGTTGAAGCTATAAATATATATTGGAGGATTTTTAGGGTCCAGGCTGCTGACATGTTCCCTGACAGCATTGTACAGTGGCTGCTTGAAACCACGATCTGAAATAATCTGTAATCGAAAAATTACCAGAAATACATAGAAACAAAAATAGATTGTGTTGAACCACCGATTGTAATGAAAGAACACCTTATGATGTTAAGGAGTTTTACAAAACTAATAAACATCAAATTACAATATCTTAGGAATAATTTTTAAAACTATAAAAGAAATAATTAGATTATAACGAACACTTTAATATCAAACTTCGTTATCTTCAAAAACAATCAAGTTTTTCTAGTAAAACTGTGGCAAATTGTGGCAAACTTAGACTCATCCACGGACCAAAATTGGTGCCTCTAGCTGTTTGGGCTCAAAAGTTCTTGACGTTCATACAGACAGACGAACTGACGGACATGTTTTTATCGATTCACATGGATGCTATATGGTAATAAATATGTTAATTTTACTCACATCCATGAATCCCCAAATGGTTTCCTCATTTAGCTCGTGCTTATCCTGAAGGTACTCCTCCATAATGAGTTTCATCTTAGGCTTCAGCTGAGCTTTTGTAAATACAGATGGAAATTCTAGAAACTCCTCCAACATAGCATCAAAGTCGGCATTGAAGTCCTCGCGCAGCGTCTTGTTTTCCATGATGTTAACCGCTCTGACGGCACCTTCGCCCGGCAAGGTGCCCAACAACCAGGGCACCTTCATATAGCTGCCTTTGGCCATCAGGGTTTCGGGATGCTCACTCAAAAAGGAATCGGGCCCTTCCAGCTCCACAACAGGCCGATAGTTGGTTAGATGGTCGACATCCCAGAACTTGAGACCATCACCAGCATCGATCAGCGTCCTCACATCCACCTTACGCAGGGCACGTGCCAACTTGGCACTACTTAACCAACTTGCTCCCTTAATATCGCACAGCTCGGCGGCTTGGCGAGCCTGTTCCAACGGCTGAGACTCTATGGCAAATGGCACATTGGCAGTGCCACTCATGCTAATAGCGTTTTGGAAAAGACCCCTCGACTTTGGACTCAGGATGTGCATGTGCGTGGAAATGGCACCTGTGCTCTGGCCGAAGATGGTTACACGCTGTGGATCCCCACCGAAGGCATCAATGTTTCGCTTCACCCACTGCAGTGCCAGATTTTGATCCTTTAAGCCAAAATTACCCGGCATGAATGAGTCCCCCGTGGATAGAAAGCCTGCATCGTTATTTGATTCACATTAGACTGCTAAGGAGAAGTCGTCAGGCTTACCCAGCGCTCCCAAGCGATAGGCCAATGTGACCAGTATAACTTGTTCGTTGTCCATAAAGTACTCGGGTCCCGTGACCAGCGGCCCAGCAGAGCCACTGAAGAAACCACCTCCATGTATATAAACCATAACTGGTAGCTTTTGTTTCGATCGGTGCTATAATCAATAGAATTAGTATTTTTAAGATGATATTCAAGGGCGTACACAGCTTTTACCAAAGGGGGGCAAAGAAAATAAAAATGAAATTTAAAAAATAATGTATGCACATGATCAATGAAAAAACTTCAACAAATCCAACTCAGTTCCATTTTAAGGCGAAATAGTGCGGCATAATAACGCCCCCCCCCCCCCCTGCCTACACCCTTGATGATATTTAATATTCACATTTCTTGCTTTCAAAATCCGAAATCTATTAACACTATTCATATATAAATAAATTATAACTTATTTTTATTCATTTTAAAATGCTATTTCAAATTATGAAAATAGAAAAAGCCAGTCCAAACGATTTTTCTAGTTCTTAGGCTGAAATTTCATTTGGAAGTTAAAATAAACGAAATTTGGAAAATCTCTTATTTGCCAGGAAACTAATAGCAAATTGTTCCAAGTCGGGTTTATATAATTGTGTACTATAAAAGCAATCTGTGGGTATTTGATTTAAGCTCCCAGATATTTCAGGAAAAATGGGTAAAAATAAATTGCTGATTGAATAGATTTGCTTAGTTTCCAGGGCAATTATTCATTTAGTGATATAAAAACAAGTAAAAAAGCTAAAGTCGGGTGTCCCGACTTCGAAATACTCTGTACATATGTTTACAATAATTATAGAAAATAAAAAAAATTAAGAAAATAAAAAAAAAAATTTGATCGATTTTACCTCTCTCGGTATTCGAACTCACGTAAAGGGTTTATAATTGCACATTTACATAGCAATTGCGTCTGTGTGAGTCTATGTATGCCTATGCGCATCTATTCGTGTCTGTGTAAGCATTTTCGCAGTCAACCAAACAGCAACATCAACAACAGCCGCGGGCAGCGCTTGAGCAGCGCTGCAGCAGCGCTGCATCAGCAAATATATTTATGGCTATAACTTCTTGTTAAATCGGTCTATCATAATGAAATTTGGCATACGGACACATAATAACTAACTGGGGGTATTTCCAAAATTTTAGTTAGAAATTCCAAGAATTACGGGAGTTACGATTTGCGGGGTAGAGGGGGGAGGGAGGGGAATTCCAAAATATACATTTTCTGCGTATTCACATAAGGCATCTGGGACTAAAATTTGGTGTTCCTAGGTCTTATAGTCTCCGAGATATAGGCGATTATACGAATGGAAAATCGGGAAAACCCCCATAGGGGGGAAGTGGGGGGGAAAATCAAAAAAATAAAACAAACTCGTATAGAATACACACATAACGCATCTTCGTGCAAAATTTGGTGTCTCTATCTCTTATAGTCTCTGAGATCCAGGTGTTCATACGGACGGACAGACGGACAGACGGACAGACGGACAGACGGACAGACAGACAGACAGGGCTAGATCGACTCGTCTCGTCATGCTGATCAAGAATATATATACTTTGTGGGGTCTGCCACGCCTCCTTCTGCCTGTTACATTTTTCAGCTCCCGCAAACCTAATATACTCTTGTACATTTCATGTACAGAGTATAATAATTAGTTCAAAACAATGGCTGGATTGGTTTTTGTAAATTTGGTACAACTTTGAGTCTTATTTATTATATTATAATATTTTTATGGATTTACTTACCTGTGGCCTGTACACGTTCAAGTACAGACAGTCCTCTTCCCCATATACCGATGGTGTCGGCAGCAAATAATTTTTCTGTATACAATCGGGTTTGGCTGCAGTGGCATTGTAAGTGCCTCGCCATTTTGGCATAATCTCGGGGTTCTTTAATGGAAAATGGGCAGATTAAAGATAGATTGAGGAGTGGAGCCAAATGAATCACTTACTCGTAGGCGAAGCTCCCCAGTGGGGGGCCTTGCATAGGGTATGCCCAAGAATGCTTCAAAACGTGCTGTTTGAAAGCCCGGCATGTAGGTGCCTTGAATACAACCGGAATGTGGGGCACAGACCAGTAGTTTTTCCGTTGAAATTGCCGTGTTCGTGCTCAGGAAACAAGTCCATAGGGCCCAGAGTAAAGCATGCGCTTGATGATTCATTATTGGTGGTGGCTAGACAAAAAAATGTTAAAAAGTCGTTAAGACCAATATGCTAATAGGCAAGTGATTTAATGGCACACATTTGATCGAGTTCGATTTTAAAAATATTTAAATTAGGTTTCGCAAACTAGACACTGTCTGAACGCCGAGTGATGTCAACGGCACTTGAAATATATTAAACAATTCATAAAAATGTACATTAGCTTAAGAGTCTGAGATAAACGAAAATCCAATATGCAAACATACCTTTCTTGCTGTTTAAGTCAGATGTAAGTTAAGGCTGTCTAAAAAATTCGCACGTGGTAACAGGCTTATATTTAAATTCGATGTTTGCCAGATTTTATGTAATTTATTGAGTTGTTTATTTTTTTGGATCCTCACAGCTTATTCCGCTACCAATTTTAACGGATAAAGACTGCTAAATATTAAATTAATATAGTATAACACTAATTTACAATAAAAGTAATATAATAATAAAATATAATAATATAATATATATGTATATAATATAATTTCTATTCTTACACCCTCTACCCGGTTAGGAAAATTTGTTTCTATTTCAGATATTTTTAAGATATTAACTACAATTTTAAGCCCTTAAGCCCTAAGCTTATAAACTCCCTTTCTTGTCTAAATCAAAAAAATATATAGTTCCTTGTAGGAATAACATTGCGTCTGGAGCTGTGTTCTTCCTTTGAATTTAAAACTTATTGCATTCTACGAAAAGGGCAGATCGAATGCTTGTATGCAAATCACAAATTTTTCTATTGATTCCAAAATTTAAAGCAGAAAATATAACATTACAGAAGGGTCCATGTAAGCGCTGAGCGTTATTTTAATTCGCTACATTCCTTAATTAACAATAATCTTCCTATTAATAGTTGAGTTAGTGACGGCTTTTAAAGATGAGGAAAAAAAAACCAAAAATAATATTAAAAGTTTAAGCCAAACAAAGTGTCATATTTTGAGTTCATAATTTAAATAAATTAATTGTCAAGTTTATTTAGACAATTTAAGGATTGTCCACGATGGAGAAATAAAAATAAATAAAAAACGCTCTGCTAATAAAAACAAGTGAGAAGCTAAAGTCGGGTATCCCGACTTTGAAATACTCTGTACATATGTGTAGAATAATTATTATATAATTAAAAAAAATAAAACAAACTCGTATAGAATACACACATAAGGCATCTTTGTGCAAAATTTGGTGTCTCTAGCTCTTATAGTCTCTGAGATCCAGGTGTTCATACGGACAGACGGACAGACAGACGGACATGGCTAGATCGACTCGTCTATATATATATACTTTTTGGGGTCTGCTATGTCTGAAATGCTAAACCAGTAGTGGTTGTTGTTGCTGGCTGGATGAAGTCTGCACTGCACACATGAACACAATGAAACAAAGATGGTAATTAAAAGGGTATTGAAAAGCTGGAACACTAGTATTTGTTTCTCTGCTAGCTTCCAAATTGGAAAACAATTATTATTACAAACATCATAATTTTGCGTTTAAGTTTCTTTAGGAAATGCAAGCTGACAAAAACTTTTAAACTACACTTGACAATAACAAGGCATTAAATATGCAAAATAAATTTAAATTTTGCTTTTACTAAATCCAAGTAACTGTACATATGTATGTATATATTTTGTAAAAACCAAAGCCTTGTCGTTTAGCGGAAATCAGACAGCTCCTAAGTCCATTCCGCTTAAAATATGTATATTCAACGACAATGAATTTTTGCAATAGGCCTGGCAGTTCGAAAATGTGTAGTAATTGATTTATTCGTGTGATCACAATAATATTGTAATTTGTTCAATTTCTCATTTCGCATTACAAATTTATGAATATGTATTTAAAACATGGGCACGCGTTTGTGGCACTTATACTAGTAGCAGGCATAGGCCTCAACAAGTTGCAAGTTGCATGCCACAGGTATTATGTTATTCATGATTAGGCCGACGCTAAGTATTTTATATATTTATTTGATATTTGATTTATGTACATATTTTGAGGAGATTTGCATAAAATTGGAATGGGAGAGAAACGAAACTAATACCATGCCACTGATTGCTTTTATTATATATTCGTGCATACTAATTAATGCGGACTTACGGATTTTTAAATGTGCACAATGACGTCAATAACAAGTATAACAATCAATGCACTCCCACAATAACAAAGGACTAGTTTTCACTAAGTTTTTGAATGTGGGTCAGAATTCACAATTGAATGTCTACAGACATATGTATGTACATATGTATGTATGTTGAATTGTATAACAGATATGACAACGTTGTATATATTTTTACACACTTATAAATTAGAAACAAACTTCCGCACAGCTTTGAGTCACGGCAACGCACAAATTCTATCTGACAGGTTTGTAACCAACGCTTTGAGTTTTATTTAAAAGAAAGAATAAACAACAAACTCTGCTCCGCTTGCTTCGTTGCTCCGTTGCTCCGTTGCTGCTACTCCGGTCACGCCGACCATAGATGCTCGGATTTGTAGTATGTACGGTATGTTTCTATGTAGTGGACCGACCCCACGCTTCATTTCCAATTGAAATTTATACACAAAAATTAATACAAGATTAGCGCCAGCTAGCAATAGCAAAAAAAAAAAAAACTAATAAAACATAACCTATGCAAATATCAAGGGTCGCAATCATTTCGTATCGCTCGACAATCGTGAATGTATCTCAGGCGCACACGTCGTATACGCAATAAGCGAGATTCACCTTGTTTGCCACACTCGCTGCCGATTCTGCTGGCTGTTGTTGTAATTCGATAAGTGCGCGGCTAATGTGTGCAGCACATTTGAATAAAGTGCCGGCATCAATGACAAACAAGCTCCAGCTCGGAGTGCACTAGATGTGAAAACAATTCTCGAACACAGAAACTTGGGAACAGGGAAAGCATCTTACAATTACAACTACTCGTACTATGTGGTAATTAAATGTACACCAAGAGCTTTTTACTGTCAACTGTCTTATACCTTAGTACAAGTAACTAACCAGGCTCAACGCCAAACAGCCAGCCAGCCACGATCCGCGAGCTCTCGAAATAGCCACAACGACGTCGAAACGTTCACTAAGCTCAGTGCTGGGCACTCCTTCTCTTTTATCCTTTAGCTATAAATCGGCATTTAACAGATACAGATGTAATATTAATTCCTCTTCTTCCTCTTTAACATAGAGCGTGCTTGACTTCATGAGCATTAATATTTATATAATTATTATTAACTCTCTGTGGGTGTTGTAAGTGTAAGTGTCTGCACTTTGCCGAGCTGTTAACGAAGATAAGTGAAGGCGACAGTAGCTCTATAGGAGAAATGCAATGGAGAACAGAGCTGTGCGTGAATGTGCGTGATTGGAAAAGCCTGACCGTTTTCCGTACATTACAAAATCTGACGCCTTCATTTGGGAAGAGTCGATGTGAATAGTGGAACAATTGACTTCTTGATTGTTTCGAGAGAGTGACAGTATTCTTTGATTTATTGAGAATGTACATAGACATAGTAGATGTATATTTCTATTACTATTTGCAGGTTTCCTCAAACCAAATGCATTAAGTCAATATCGAAGTTATAGATTATAATAATATTAATTCTAATTGTTCCAATTTTACTGGTAATATCTAACAGATAGCGTAGAAAAACTGTAGTTATGAGGTTTGAAAATCTAGTTCAATTCTTCTATTTTATTTTTATTCCCAAATTCCCAATTTCAGTGTTGGTTTTAATAATATGTTTTGTATTGTAAAAACGAATATAAATTGTGGATTTGATCAAACAAATTTTATACCCATCTCTGAAAAGTAAAAAGCATACATACATATGGATAATGTTTTTGGGTGTATATGTTCATAAAACCTACTTATTATTGATCAGCATTAGAGAAACAAATACAAAGCGCCTTTTTGTCTGTCTGATTCGATTCTTCCATTGTTAGTGGCATGGGAAAGTCTACAGCCACCCAGATTTCTTATTGATAAACATAAAGATGTCGAGATCGGTTATGTGAGATCACCATATCATATAAGTTTCATAAAAACTATATAATTTCAAAAGAGTTTTGTGAATCGTGTGTCCTAACTATGAATGCGACTTTTCGATATACTGTTCTCAACCATTATCTAGTTAAAATCTTTCAACTAGAATTAACTTATTTGTAATAGTCAATGCTATGGCAATTTTGACTGATTGCTTAGAAGATCTAAATAAAAAAGAAAGAAAGACTAAGAGTGATTTTATGTATCAAATAATAGGGCTATGGTTTATAATAAACTCGAAGTTGACTGCATCGTTAATTTTATACGCTATATTTTGCGATTATCCCAAAATCTTTTCTTTAAATTTTTATTTTTGATAAGAATATACATCATCAACAGGTCTTTCAAGAGATGATGTGCTATTGCAAGTATGGATTTGACTTTATACGATTAGTCTAATATACAAACGAATTTTTGGAAAGAAGTCAAACCTTCTTCTACATTTCTAGCAGCTCTTCGACTACAAACAAAGGAAACAGTATAGGATATATAGTTGCAGCGCAGACGAAGATAACGCTTCCATGTTCGTTGCACTTAATTGCTTTCAGGGGAATTTCTTGTTAAAAATAACTTTAAGGTAATATTTCGTATTTGTTACAGGGCCGTTAAAATTGATTATAAGATTATTCAAACATAAATAAATTACAATTAAGTACTTTTGGAAAGAGCTATAAATTCTAGTCTAATCGGTCTAGTATTGCTGTCTTCATTTATAAAATGATTTTATTGAATTCCACTTACCGGTTCTTTTTCCTAACTAAGTTTAACAAAAATGTGCAAGAAATGCAAATATGTATATGTAAGAAATGAAACTAAATATATTGTTTGGCAAAGTGAAATAATTTTAATATTGGTTCTGCATCCCTTAATATTCAACTACGGCCCTCGCTGTGCACCCAATACCCTTGAAACTCACAAAACAACTTCGCACAATTGCATTCTGTTATTAAATACAAGTATAATACATTGTTGCTGACCTTCACATTGCTTCTCTGATAAGTGGTGATGTATAGTATAGTATAGTATAGTATAGTATAGTATAAGAATTGGAAAGTGGGTCGCACTCGATATGCTGTAACTGGATCACTCAAGATACATCTTCTTCCAGATGGGAAGAGCGCGCATGTCAACCCGCCGCTCGATGGCCTCATTGTAGGCCCCGTCCCTCTTTTCAATCTTCAAGAAACTGCAAATTTCTTCATCTGTAAATTCCTGTGCACTGCATGCGGGCAACGAGCTTTGATTGTAAAATACCCTTAATATAAAGATATATACAGGTACATTTATAAGTGATGATAGAAAAGATTCTGATAACGCAGAGCTTACCCGGTTTTGGCAAAGTCAACAAGTATGCTCGTGAATCGCTTTATGACCATTGCCTCCTCAGAGTCCTTTGGAAAGTCCGACATTAAAGCCGAAAGCCTTAGCGTGAACATAGCGTCGTCCAGATGGGATGAGCCCAGACCGAAGTCAATCCCGTTTGGTACGAACAATGAGGCCATGGTTCGCTGGCCTCGGTATTCAAAACTATAGATTGACACAGAATGCTTGTCCAACTTGCTCGCTTTTGCCGACACATAGACCGGATATTGAAAGTCAAAGTCTCCCACAATCTGCAAAAAGTTAAAAATTCTTAGAAAACTATGCTGGAATGCTACTCTCGGGCATACCTCCAGCAATGTGGGTAAGGTCTCATTGTTGAGTTTGTATTCGCTGATCCCATACAGGTGCAGCAGATCCTTGATTTCTTGGGCTGAGGTGCCGGCCGGCAGAGGCATTGCCAGAGGAAACCTCTCTAGGAAGTTTTCATTGAACTCGGCCAGCACAACTGGATCATTTAAAATGGGCAGCAACATTATAAGACCCTCGCCAGCTCGCGAGTCTGCACCCAGCACCCATGGCACTTGATGCGCACGCCCAGACAACTGGATTTGCCAAGGATCTTCATAGAAAAACCCGTCTGGAGTAGATGGATCCTCCACAGTTGGAAGAAAATTCACTAGGGGCAACATATTCCACTGTTTAAACAAAGTGCTGCCTTCCGTTATATCCTTAGCATCAACTTTACGTAAAGCTTCAGTCAGCGTCTTACAATCTAGTGCCATGGCATCTTTAATGCCCACTTCAACGGCCAGTTTTTGTACCTGCGCCAAGGGATTCTCTTCAAATTTGGCCCAAGGAGCCAAAGCGCCACTCAGCGTCATAGCCCGTTGGAAAAGACCTACAGAAGAGACATTATGAAGGTTATATACTCTATCTCTACAATAGTCCATCAATTAAAATTTAAATAAAACTTCAGATTATTTTGAAGCATTGTAAAAAACGTAAAATACCAAATTCCGTCTGAGAGTCATTTTTGAACCGATCGGTCTTTGGGATGCTTTATGAGATAATGAGGTTTTCTATGGTTTTTAATCAACTTGGTATTATTTGCATTAACCATATACCAAGTTTGGTGTCCTTAGTATCTTTAGCTAACAAGTTATCGATGGTCATACAGACAGACGGTTGAACATCTAGACAGCCATGCCTTCTTTCTGTTAGATGCAGATAGCCTTTAAGTAATATTTTAGCTCTCTCACCTTTTGATCCTTCACTGAGCATGTGAAAGTGCGTAGAAGCTCCGCCTGCGCTATGACCGAAGATGGTCACCAGCTGGGGATCTCCACCAAAGGAGCCAATATGTTTTTGCACCCATTGTAATGCCAGACGTTGATCCTTAAGCCCGAAATTGCCGGGCATATGCTCATTGCCAGTGCTTAAAAAACCTATATATAACATTTAATTACAATTAAGATTATATAAAATAATGCAGAATGGTACGAGTCGGGAGCCAAGTCAAAATAATCGAATAACTCACCAAAAGGACCTAAACGATAGCTCATGCTAACCATAATAACCTGTTCCGTATCCATGAGATATTCTGGACCAGCGTAACCTATACTTGCAGATCCACAAAAAAATCCTCCCGCGTGAAAATATACCATTACAGGCAAAGGTTCTGCACTACGACGCTAACATTTCGAGTCCATTATATAGCGAATAGATGAAACATGAAGCATTTCCTTACCAACGGCCTATAGACATTTAAATAAAGACAATCCTCTGATCCATACACAGGCCAGTCCTTCAAAAAAAAGTTCTTTTGTATGCATGGATCCTTAGGCGAACTCGCGTCCAATGTTTGCTTCCATGCGGTAGCCGGAACGGGATTCTGCAAGCAATCTCCTTTCTCTATTAAGATTTTTACGGGGCGCACAAATTCTACGCACCCTGAATCGTAAGTCCCCTATTGGCGGCTGAGCATACGGTATGCCCATGAATGCCTCGAATTCTCCTTTCTGGTATCCAGGCATCAAAGTGCCGCGCAGGCAGCTCCCGTCCGTCAGGCATATATCCAAATCCGCACATGTTTCCAGCACAGTCAATGCACAAAAGATGTAACAGAATATTAAACGCTTCATTATCGGAGCAGGCTTTGAAAAGAGCAATGCCTAAAGCATTCAACGCTTTTTATATAAAAAATAATTAATTGTATAGTATTAAATTATATGCTCGGGTTTGCTAAAGAGTTGGCAGGAAGCCCTCCCACCTATTATTACCCAAACCAGTGCTTAACGACTTCATTGCCACAGCTGTAACATCTCTATTAACGCTACAAGCTCTGGAAAATTACACTGTTCTACCGACAGCTATTACAAATTTTTCAATTCCTAAAATGCCGGCAGAAATATTTTAAAAATGAGAAGAAATGTAATTTTGAAATGTAGCTTATTCGATGAGGTCTCAATTGGTGAATATCGAAAATTTTGATTTTGAATTTTTAACATTCCGAATACATGTACAAACCTAGGGTTGAGTAATGAAGATCACCTTGATATATCTATAATAACCTAGTTGATATATGTCGGTCTAAAATTTAGAGCAAAGTTGTTAACTTCGTCTTAAATAGAAATAAAATACCAAATATCTGGTTTAAAGAGAAATTTTACTTGATTTAATTTAGATGATTTAAACAATCCCTTGGACGTAACCAAGTAAAATTTCTTTAATTTTGATCGTAAAATAGGTATCCATACGCCGCTTACACTGCGAGTGAGATACCTAGAAAAAGCTCTATCGTTTTTTTTTTTGTTTCTTTAAACTATACTTTCCAAGTGGTTGGACTTCGTCAATTTCTGACTGAAACAAGAAGTATGTAAAACAAAAACGAATATTTTTTTATGAATTCAAAAATGAAAATTGTAAACACTGACTTGTTTGTAATCTATAAAACAGATATTAAGTTAACTCGGAACACGGTATTAAAGCAGTCTATGAAAAGGTTAAAGCAGACTTAGAACAGGTTTTTTCCTGCTGACCGTATTTTCAATATTCAGTATTCAGTTTAATGACTAAAAATTCCCGACCTCTTTGAACTCAATATTTAAATATTAATTAATTAGTCAATATTTTAAAGTACTTTAAGCAATTGAGTTGCCTGAATTCAAGTATCAAAAAATCTCAACTTTAATAACAAGGAATGGAAAATGTTTTCTTTAGAGCAACTGTGTTAAATATTCAAATATATAGTATTTGTACATATTAGCAATTCATCATTGATATTATGATTGATTAATAGCATGAAATTATCAAAAGGTGATATGAGTTTTCAAGAAAGAGCAACGCGTATTTATTAAACGTACTTCAATATAGAAGTTTGCGTTTAAAACACGAATTTTCGAACTTACCCATTTACTAATTTTCTCTGAGTGTAGCGCTTTGTTTAGCAAACTCTAGCTTAAGTAAAAGTTTAGCACGCAATGTGTTAAAGATCAAAATAGTCTACTATATTTAGTCGATTTGCGCACGTTCTGAGTGAAGCGAACATGCTGCTGCCAAACTCAGATACATATAGATATACACATAACCCATAAGTCTTACAATAAAATCCGTACAAATATATACTTAGTCTGAACACGCATACATACAATAGCTATTGTGTAAGAGATACCTTTAAGCTAAACGAATATAAAACCAGAAAATAAACTAAAGCAGGCTGGTGTTCGGGGGGAGGGGAATCGTCTTTTGTTAAACTGAAAGCCAATTCAAATCTCCGACATGCTAAGGCGCTGATCTGCTGTCAGATCCGGATGCCAAACATCCACAATCAGCACCAAACGCAATTCCGTGCCATTGTGCCAGACCTCGTGCTCGAAGCTGTCGTCGAAAATGAAGAGCTCACCCGCCTGCCAAGTTCTGTAAAGGATGGAAAATGTGATTTGGAAAACATTAAAGTGTTGACGGAGAACTCACCGCAGTTGCTCGGCCACTCGTAAGCTCGTTAATTGTGGCTCGGGGGTCACGAGCCCCAGATGGGCACGCAGACGACAATTTGTGGGTCCGCAGTGAGGCCAAACATGTGTCTGCGCCCGCATGGCGCTGAACTTAACCTGGCCGCGTCGACAGCTTGTGGCTGCTGGAAAGAAACCGGCCAGTAGGGCGCAAGTTATAGGTGCTCTCTGGCAGTTCCTGCCCACCCGCTGACCCTGCGCATATAGCTCGTATTGCGTCCAATCGCCAGTATCCCGAAGCTGTTCCGTTTCCTCTTGGAAATTGCCATGGTGGTTGAGCAAGGCCAAGGCCTCATCGCGTATAGCAGACCAATTGCGTTGCAATTTCTCAAACGATTCGGCATAGCCTGTCTCGGCTACATCCCAAAAGGGTTGAGCACGCAAATGGGGCTCGTTATAGAGGGCTCTCTGATAAACGCTGGGAAAAAACTGCTTCTCCACGCCACGTTCATACACGGCCAGCGCTTCCGATTGCTTGCCCAAGCGTTGCAGCGTCTCGCCCAACGCCAGGTAGAAAAAGCCCTCCTGTGTACCCCTCAGTCCCGATTCCATGCCGTACTTGAGGTAGGGTAGAGCTCGAGCATAGTCTCGATCCAACTGCTTCACCGCCAGACCATAATAAAGCTGTGCCAATGCATCTTGCGGCCAAATTTTCAGCGTATTCCCCGCTGTGCGTCTCACTAGCTCCAAACTAAAACAGAAAGAGACGCATTTCATTGGAGTGCTGGGAGGAATATGGGAGAAAACACACACCCACTTATTAATCATCAGATATGTGAGCGTTAGTTGATTGCGCTGCTGCGGTTCCTCCCAGAAGCGGTCGATGAGCAGCTCGTGAATGGCCACCGCTTGCTGTTGATAACCTGTGCGAACCGTGGCTTGAAATGTTCCCAACTACAAGTATGGATCTCTGTCCAGTACGCACCCATGAATCTCAGATGCTCGATGCAACGTTCTCCAGCTGCCCGAAACTCGCCATCATCGGATATCAGTTCAGCAAAGGCCAGGTAACGTTTATAGGAATCAATGGCCTGCTCCAGAATCTCATTGCTTTGCCTAATCTCGGCCAGCTGCTCCAGAGCGCGAGCTCTTGCCAAATGGGCCGATGATTTGTGCGTGTATTTGATTATTAGATTGTTAAATGCGCGCAAAGCATTCGCCGGATTCGGATTCTGGGGTTATTCAGTCAACAAAGGCATTGCAACAAATAGAAGACATGCAATAAAAGCAATAAAGTCGTTTAGTAAGCTGGTAAGTATTTAGAGTACGTTACAACATCAACCATTAAACAATAAAATGAAAAAAGTTTTTAAAAAAAATCGTAATTGCTATTTGGTAAATGGACACATAGTTGGTAATCCAGTGGGTGTGTGTATTGGAATACCAATTACATCCATGGAAACTACCAAATGGTAAGTACGCTTTTCCAATACAAAAATGGCAAATTAAATGATTTTTGTCTATTATTTTCGAATTTAATGCAGTCTTAAATACTAATTGATTTGCAAGCTTGTCAAAATTCATATAAAGTAGCATATTCTTAACAAATAAACAGAAACAATTACAAATATTATTTTATGCTTATTGAACTTAGAAAGCGAGCATTAATTAAAGCTATGAAAGGACTTTTTTTTATTTTGTTTTGATATTCTAATGATTGTTCAGCTAGGTTGAGAGAATTTAAAAACAATTTTAAATAGTAGCATTTGGTAAGCCACAACTAGTTTTAGTTTTGAACTTACCTCTCTGATCATTTCGGCATTAGCCTTACGCAGCTCCGCTTCAAAAAGATCATCATCATCGTCTGTATTTAATTTCGCTTTAGGACCAGCGCCTGGCGCTGCCTCTTTAGGTTTAATTTCTATTAAAATTATTAAATTACAGAATTAGTTAGCGCAAGAAGAGAGAACGTTGGAAATACACAGCTGAAGCAAAGTTCACAATTAAATAATTTACGGTTTAAATAGACGAAAGCTCCACCTTTTACGAACGCTTAGTATTAAAATTATGTGTTTGGCGGCTCTTAAATGCGGTTAAAATGTAAGTAGTTGGCAACTATAAATAACACTTACTATATAGGAATTGGACAATAATTTGAGTTTCTTAGAAAATGTGTAAAATATGCCATGATTATGGACTGGAAGATTACTTTAGCATCTAACAGTTACGCGAAGATGTCGGATGAGCCGATATAATGATGGATTCAGTTGATTGTTCTTGTTGTTGTTGTGGTATTGGGATTTGTTTTTTTGTTTTTTTATTTTGTTTTTAGAGATTGACAGTTTCGAAACGTGTATATAGTACATTTAGTAATTACGTGTCCAGGTTGGATCATCGGAATCTGCATCACTTTCATATTCCTTGGCCGGCAAGCGACCGTATTTGGCTTCTAGTCTATTCATTAACTCTGTGTCGTCGACATCAGATATATCACCTTCTTCGAGTTCATAGCCATAATCATCATCGATTTCGTCCTCCTCGTCCGTTATTTCGTCGTTTTCGTCCTGCGCATAGTCCTCGGCGGCACCGTCCTCATACTCCACATATATATCAGTAGACACAGTCGGCTCAGGATCAGATGCAGATGTTTTTGGTGTCGATATTTGCTCTCTGGTTTTTGTTGGGGCTGCCGTTGACACTGCTGTGATCTCTTTTGGCTCCTGCTGAGCCTCTTGCTTTGACTTATACTGTGCACTTAGTTGTTCGAATGTTTCTGGAACATAACTGTGCGATGCGGCTACATTATCATCGCTTCCACCTTCCACACCATCGGCGGCTTCGTCTATGTCACTGATCTCAACTTCGATTTCCTCCTCGATTTCAATTTCCTCTTCGGAATATTCTTGGAATGTTGCATAATGAAAATAATGAAATTAGTGCTATTATCCTAGGGATAACTTTTTAACTGAAATGCTCAAAATAATTTCACTGCACACGGAATGAAATTATTTTGAACTGGAAGCATACAGACTCTTGCAAAGACTAGAAAATTAACCAGCAATCTATCAATTATTGCAAGGTGCGTAACTTGGGCCTTAAATTTATATCTCAACCATCATCAAGCGGTGGCAGCTCCTCGTCATCGTCGGGTATATGATCTTCGGCAGATGCGATTGTCAGCCTACGTCTCATACAGGCTTCCTGATTCATCTGTTCGGCTATTTATGAGCGCGAATCGGGTAAAATGGTGAGTATTATTATCGAATATTATAGATAGATAGAATTCTTACAAATAATCGCAATATACATACATGTGCGTTAACTAAAAGGAGAACAAAGCGTTTACTACAATAAAACAAAAATACAAATAATAAGCCCAAATAAAGATCTTGAATAACATTTAGCAAATTTTCTAATACAACATCCATTGAAGTTTTTAAGAAAGTGCAAATTTTTGTTTTTACGATTCGAAACAATTTTGTTATGGTAGTTAGTTTATTTGGTAACCAATATCATCACAACATTAAGAAAAGGCATGCCTGTTTGATAATAAGAGTACACTTAACGAGCTCAGATTTCCATTGATTGGGTTAAATAAAAATTTAAATAAGCGCCAATTTGTGTTAACAAACCCTAAGCAGTTATAAGATAATTGCAATAACCTTGGGCGTGCTTCGATTGAATGGCAATAGAAAACTCACTTGTATTTGGATTTTTCCGTATCAATACAAGCCGTGAAACTAAGGCAAGTGCAACGCCAACGCCAAATTTGACGAGAACTGTAAAATGATGTAGGTTTTAGTATGAAATCATATCTTATAACAACAGATAACTAAACGCAATTTGCACTTTCTTGTACAGTAGTCGAAATAAAATACATATGTAGTATATATACTCGTATTACCTAAATTTCACGTCGAAAAGGTGGAGCAGATGCGCGTTGTTTAACCCTGTTTTTTTCACAATGATTTACACGTTCGAATTACATTATATACTTACGCGATGAAAACCAAGATGACTCTGTTGCTTCTGCATCGTTATCATTATCATTGGAAGTATCCTGGTTAGTAATATCTGCGGTTGAAGCGGCAGCTTCCCGTGCCTTTTCTTGTCTTAACAACAATTCTTCGGCTTCATTATCAACCGTCTGATCAAGCGATTCAAAATCATCCTGCAACAGCCATAAAGCATTAAGAGCGAATTGGTGGGTTGAAAAAATATCTAACTAACATCATCAAAGTCCTCATCATTTGCATTTGACGTACTTTCGGGCTTTGATTGAGATTTTGGTGGCTCAACAGACTCCTCAATATCTTCTTCATCTGCATCGTCATCATCTGCATCATCATCAGCTTCATCATCGTCCTGTAAGTAACAAAAGTCAAAACAATTAATTAAACAACTTTTTGTAGAATATTCCTATAACTACGGGATATAAGTACTAAGAGTTCAACTAAATTGACATAGTTTTTAATAAAAATGTACCTCATCGGCATCATCCTCAGGTGTGTTAGACTGGGGTGGTTCAAGTGACTCCTCAACTTCTTCGTTGTCGTCTTCATCATCCACGTCATTCTCAGCATCGTCCTCCTTCAATTAAAATGGGATATATTTTTGTCAAGGAATATAAAACAAGTTTTCTTACCTCATCATCATTATCAGCTTCATTTTCTGTGCTTAATTGAGACTGGGGCTGCTCAGTGGTTTCTTCATTGTCTTCGTCATCCTCTTCATCATTCTGTTACCGAAAAAAATGCAATTATTACGCAAAATAATATAATCTTAATATATTTATTAACCTCATCTAAATTATCGCTAATTTTATTGGGTGCACTTTCGGGTCTCTTTTGTATCTTCGATAGCTCTATTGACTCTTCAATTCCATCATCTTCGGCGGCCGTATCTTCATCTTCATCTTGGTCATATTCCTGCTCTTCGTCGGCTTCCTTTTCTGCGGTTGCTTCGTCGTCGTCATCATTTTCTTCAGCCTAACAATAAGGGATATTAATTATAAATACATTTAAAATGTCAACTTATACAAAAGGACAATATTAAGAGCACAAATTGTTTATATGCTCGTATATTAACGAACCCTGAAAGTCTGTTGTTATTTATGTATGTATAACTATTTTTAAGCTAATTATCTCAAAGCAATTAATGGTGGTACTAAATTGAAAGTACTAATCCGATAATTACAGACTGAAATCAATGAATTGAATACCTCTTCTTCCGCATCTTCATCATCATCATGGTCGTCGTGTTCGTCATGATCGTCATCATCATCATGATCGTCATGATCATCATGATCGTCATGATCGTCATGATCTTCCCCTGATATTGCGGCGGCCCCGTGTTTATCGTGTTCATCATGTTCCTCACGATGCTCGTCTACCCACCCATCAAAATAGTTGGAGAAGCGCGACTCTGATAATGGCGTGTCTACTGCAAAATTGCCATAATATAACAAAATAATTATTATAATATATTTGCGATGAGACCACCACCTTATTTTGTTTAATATGGTATAAAGTTATCAACAAAAGATACAGAATAATTTGCATATCAATTCGTAAAATATAAAAAATTGGCTATGAAAACTATATCCTTGCTATCAATTTTCTTATAGTTTTTTGAGTAAAATGAAATTAACATCATGATATCCTTAAATTAATCGAATCGTATGCAAATTATTTGTGTCTATTTGACATCCAATTGTAATACCAAGTAGTGTTTAAAATGTTACTTACAGTCCGCCAAACCGCGATTTTCCATTATAATGAGGCCCACGAGGCCCAACAGCACTGCCATTAGCGAGAAGAATATTATTTTGGCACACCAATGTCCGCCCGTACCATGTTCGTGATGCACGTGCAAATGCACGTCGTCGTTTCCCATCTTTGTGATGTGCACGCCATGGGAAGATTCGTCGTCATCTATTATCATGTGAGGTAAACACATGTGTTTAGTAATTGTTTAATTAAGTGTGGATTAGGTTTAGATTAGTAGCAGGTAGCAAGATCAGCAGCTCACAAAGCATGTTGGGTAGCTAAGCTTCATCGGGATGCAGTGAGAGAGAGGACAAAGTTTTTATTACAATGTACTTGCTACCTTGAAAGCTTTGCTGGCGTGAAAAACTCACTTCGCCCTCAGATTTGCGATCATCTAGACAGAAATTTAGTGACATTGATTAGATTAGTTATTTTACTAGACAAAGCTAACGCCAATTAACATGTCGGCATGTTTATTCCAATATATGTATGTACATAGACACACATTCGCAATTATAAACAATGAACATGCAAGTCATGTTCCTGGGCACTTGGCCAAATGAAAGACATATGTATGTACATACATTCAAAATATGTATGTTGTTTTGTAGACTTTGCGATTAAATGAAAGATGTCCACAATGTAGTGGGTGTAATGGGTGGCAGAGCATTAAGCTCACGGAAGTGACTTGACTTTGAATATTGCAGTTCATATTTAATTAATTTTCATACAGAACGTGAATAAGGTTCCTGACAATACTGTGGGCAATACATACAATTTATAGATATATGTACATAGATATAAATATACATATACACTCATACATATTTGCTTAAATCATTAAACATGGCAGCAAGTGCAACGATCAACACTTTGTTTGAGTTATTCTACTAAAAAGAGATTAGATAAAAGATACAAGAGAGTAGTGGAACGTTTTTTAGTTTGTTTCGAGATAAGAAACGACATAAAGATAAAGAGAATGTCGTATTGTTTGCCTCAGAAAAGATTTAAATAAATAAGAAGAGGAATTTATTTATAAATATGTATGTATGTACTCGTACATACATGCATAGGTAGGGGACTGAGATACGAATCCTTATGGCTTCTTAAAAGAGGCTTAGGGCGGCTTGTAGTAACCAGGCAATTGCTTGAAAATATTGGTAGAAATTCCGGCTTTTAAATTACCAAATGCATTTATATGTGTATGTATTTTCACTTCATAAACTAATGTATTTACATATACATGTGTACATATGAGTATTTGTGCTCCGACAGCGCCGAAAATCGTTTTAAAAAATAAAAATAAATCTGTTTCTTTTTTGATGGCACGCATAGCGACAACAGCGGCGTATAATTTTATATAATAGGGCAAAGTTATTTTTAAAGGCACTCTACAATATTATTTCGCTAATAAAAGATCTGCCACATTTCAGCCTGTGAGCTGATATGTCAAAAAACACTAAAATTCCGACGCACTTACCACGTTTTCTGCGTTTATCCTTACGTTTCCGCGGCTGCACATCGCCCGACATTTTTCCTGTGCTTCCTATACTAATTCAATGCAATTTATATTATGTTTTCTAAAATCTATGCTTTACTTTTGGATACTGAATGAACGAATTGTCAGCGGCCGAAACGCTCTGACCGCGATCACCGCTGGGAACTAAATGCAAACGGCTCTCTCTCAAGTAGAATTATTTATAAAATGCGCACCGTTGCCAGCGGCGCTGCCAGACTTTCTGAGCATTAGAAAGAGAATTGAAAACTGCGGTACCAGAGGAAAATTATCATTATAAGATAATGAACAAATGAAATGATAAATGAATACATTTTATGTTTTTACAATACTTCCCAACAAAAATAATTACAGGCAAGTGCACTTGTAACTCTTTAATATTTAATGTTAACGCTACAACGAAATAATTGCGTGGTGTTGACAATTCTTGTTGCTTTTATTTAATATAAACAATATTTTTACTTTTCCGTTTTAATGTTTTACTTATTATAATTATTGAATTAACGACCCAAAAGTTTGAATAATTTAAATTCAAATGGGCGTCAGAGTGTCACAGAGTTTGCAGCCAACAGCTGTTTAAGTAGAGCTGCCAGCTTTACGAAAAGTTGCGCGCGCTTCTGAAAATGACTCATTTTTATTGTAAATATTAAAAAAAATCCCCAATAAGCTTATTTACGTAATTTCTAATCTTTTGCCACAGTATTTGAAGCTTATATACAGTTTGTATTTATCATTGATTCGTCATCTACCCGCCCGAAAGCTGCACTCGCCAACCCTTCCGCTTCTGCCACAGCTGTGTGTGTTCAGTATACCCAAAAAACAGCAAATTTCCCAATAGAAACAACATCAAGCCAAATCGGCCGAAATGGTGTACAAATACGACATAATTTAAATCAAAAAAGGACCGTTTGCAGGTTCGGGCCAAGTGCAGCGGCGTGGTAAGTATAATGCAGTGCACAATATAACAAAAAATAAATTTGTACTGCTATTGGTGATTCTAAAATTTGGTTTTTCGTTGCGCAGCTCTGCGCTGAGATACACACAGAACAAACTACGCATTGTTTGTTCAAGCAGACCGAAAAGGCGAGGTCGGGTCAACGATTCCTACCACGCCTTGGAGTTTAAAAGGTATGGCCGGTGACATGTCCATTGGTTGCGCCGCCTTGAAAAGATCAACCAAGTTGAAATCCTGCACGAGCTCTGCGGATACGGACTCCATGCACATACCAAATGAGAGCAAGGAAAATGGTAACATGGGCTTACTAATCAAGCCACCTAGTGCACCACCGCAGAATATGCGAGGAGGCTTGCGAGTATACAAGATTGTTATACTTGGGGATGGAGGAGTCGGCAAATCGGGTAAGTGACCATGAAATTTGCATTCACAAGGTGACGATGGCGCCTCCACAGCCGGACGGCATCCACATACGCACGCAAAACACACTCCCGCGCATGTCGCTAACAATGAAAATTATCATTGCGTCGTTTTGATTGTGGTTGCGAAAAATCAATAAATTATCTCAATTTCTTTTACGCTTTGTTTTGCTGCCCTGCGGCCGCTTTCTGCTTGCGCACTCCGAACCAAACCACCCCTTACTACCACCGGCGTGATGTGCGGCGTTCGTGCGTTCGGCAATTTCTGTGTGTACACAAATCAAAACATACACACGCCCCCACATCCCCCCACTTTTACAACCGTTACAGCTGTTACTCTGCAATTTGTCAGTCACAGCTTCTTGGACTATCATGACCCAACAATCGGTGAGTTGAGCAAGTCTTTGCTTGGGATCTGTTTATTTTTATTGCTGTGGACTATTTTGCATTTATTTTCAGAGGACTCTTACCAGCAACAGGCGGTCATAGACAATGAAGCCGCTTTGTTGGACATACTGGACACTGCGGGTCAGGTGGAGTTTACGGCCATGCGGGACCAATACATGCGTTGCGGCGAAGGTTTCATCATTTGCTACTCGGTCACTGATCGTCACAGCTTCCAGGAGGCTTCAGAGTACAGAAAACTGATAACGCGCGTCCGTTTGTCTGAGGACATACCGTTGGTATTGATAGCCAACAAAGTTGACTTGGAATCTCAACGTCGAGTTACAACCGAGGAGGGTAAGAACTTAGCCAATCAGTTCGGTTGCCCGTTCTTTGAGACATCGGCCGCCTTGCGTCATTACATAGACGAGGCATTTTACACGTTAGTTCGTGAAATCCGGCGCAAGGAAATGCAGAAAGCACTTGGCACGGATACCAGTTCGGAGAAGATACACACACGCCATCGCAGCCGTTGGTGGCGCATACGATCCATCTTCGCTTTAGTGTTTCGTCGACGCCGCAACCTAAATTAAAGGCCGCGTAATGCGTCATTTTGCCTGTTTTCAATGCAAATTAGTGCAATATTAACCCCAACGTTATATATATGTATTTTGTGGCTATATATGGACTATATATAGCCCATCCAATCATATATATATATACGTATATACATATAAATGTCTAATATTTTTCCCAAGCCTCAACAATGCAGGCCGACGACTAAAAAGAATTTATCAATCGAAAAACTATAGTTATACCCATGAGTGCGGTTAGTAGGAGCGTTTAGGATAGAGAGAGTATAGAGCATTGTCTGAGAGGTATTTATTATTTGTTAAATATTTAATGTCTTGTTGTATTGTTGCAAGGTGAAGATTTTGAAGCGTGGATAGGATAGGGCCTGGCCACTAGCGCACAGTATTGATATATATATATCAATAATAGCACGATCCAAATAATACATTATATTATTAATGCACGTACATATGTAAACCAATTGTAAACGTTGTTTCCTAACGAAAAAAGAAAGGAATATTAGAAGTTAAATGAGCAAAATGTTTGAGCACAAAAATGCAGGAGACGAGAAAAATCAACAAAATGCATTTACATTGAATAAGTAATAACTAAAAACGATAATAACTTCAAAGCAAAATCAAAATAACTGAGTCCTAACCAAAAATTAAAAATACACGCTAATACCGCACTGCTGTAAAGAAAACAAATCCATACAGGATACGAGTATGGAGAGAGCGTACGTTATAGAGCTTTAAGTCGCAAACTGTCCAAAAAACAAAACAAAAAAGAATCGAAGCAGAACTTTTCCTTTTGATAAGCCCTACATACTTATATACATATGTGTGTTTATTAATCGAGCGCAGCATCGAAGCACAAATGAACATTTTCAAACAAAATGTTAATCCTAAATAGAAATCCATTTGAAACAAATAATATGAATACACGAATGCGGGATCATTATCAATATTTTTTATCAAAAACGAAGGAAAAACTCAAAGTTTGAACGAAAATTTTAAAAGAATATTGAGCTTTATAAAAACTACAGGTCCTTTTTATTTTTTACTTTTAATGCAGCTGAGCTTACGTTGGAACACATACACAATTGTTTATATTACGTTTAACTGTTAAGTATATAATTATTTAAGTTTATTTATTGTTAGCTTTACGTTTTTGTTAATTACTATTTATCGTCAAGTTCCCTAAGTATCATAAATGTTACTGCATTAGCACAAAGTACACTGCTTTAATATTTGTTACGAATCTTGTTTTACGTGTATACATTTTTATAAATTGTTATTGCAAAATACAAATCAATCACAAATGCACCGGCAAAGGCGCGAGTCGCTAATAGGAATATGCCAACATGCATATACATACATATGTATGTATGTATTTATATAGAAAATAAACAGCGCGTATACATTAAGATAATACGACGTAAATTTATTAACAAATGTCAAGTAATTGATTGCGGGTAGATGAAAAGAAGTTTTCCGGAATGTTACAAATTCGAGTACTAACTTTTTTTTTTAGAAATATAAATACTGCACTGAAAAAAAAATCAAATCATAAACGAGTTTGCTAGAAAGCGACTCAAGCATAAACGAGGCAAGCGATAGAGATACGAAAACTGGAGGCTGCTCTGAAAATAGAACCTAGTTTGAGAAGCGGTTCGCCATGGCAGTGCAAAGATGAAAAGGAGGAACATGAGTCAAGTTTTGCGTAGGAGATGAAATAATTATAACTACATATATATGATGTAACACAACCAAGATTTTGATTCCTAACGTTATCATTATGAGTACATTTTAAATGTAAAAGCAAACCCTCAATAAAGATTTTGGAACCCCCGTTAATGAATATTATTATTTTTGATCGGACGTTTGCAATTTACATTCCTGAGCAGCTTGTTAAATCAAATTGACATATTTTAGTAGGTTTGGGGATTTATTAAATGAAAAAGAACCCTAATTTCAGATAGGGTTTATTTTAATGCAACATTAATTATTTTACAGCAACACGAGTTCAAGTTGGAAAGTTTCCTTATTTCTCATTCAGGTTATGAGCAAAAACGAATCACATGCTTACTATATATCTCAAAATAGGATATGGAATTATTGATAGACATTGTCTCTAACAAACGAAGTGAAAATAAAACAGTTCAATACTGCTTACAGGTAACTAGTGTAGCTCCGAGAAAATCCAAAATGTATTTCAAATCACACACCAAAGTATAACATAAGTTGACGTCCCATGAGTTCCAGATCCAGGTAGTTCTTAGAGGTCATGATGTGAAATCCAATGGCCGAGATCTGTTTCTTCCACTCTAAAAATTTGCGGAAACTTAAATAACAAACGCACAGCATTGATTTTTATCGATTTATTTATCATATATATGTTGTATATTAGTAAAATATTTTTTACCTTTCATTTTTTTAAATTTGTTTTTGTTGTAAGGAATATTATGCAAAATGCACAATACGTTCTCATTTTAAATAACCAACCGTATTACACGAAAAACTAAATTTAAGAAATACATAATGAAATAATTTAGTTATTTTTTTTTAGACAGGAGATGTTTCGTTTCATTTTTCTTTTTTTGTATTTTTCTTTGAACAAAAAATTCTAATTACGACAACTGAGAATAATGCGCAGTATAATTGTTGCTAACAAATCATTTTCAAAAACAAAGTCAAACATTTGAATTCACTTTCCGTTTTGGGTTTGGTTCCACTATGAAGCTGTGGTCAATTGTTGTTTAGGCATTTACACATAATTTGGTAATCTGGTGAATGTGTATTTGTTGTTGTTTTTGTCTATGTTGTTGCTGTTTTTGGTTTATTGTATAGGAAGCAAAAAAACATTGAATGCACATATCCATATCTGCAATTACGTTAACGCCTTGTTGTAGTTTTTGTTTTGTTTGTTGTTGTTGTATTTATAAATTTAGTAAATTTCTTAATAGTAACTGTAGAAAATAGTAGCGTAGTTCCACTTTGCTGACACGCAACTTTTTGTGTGAGAATTACACGCTTGACGGTACAAAATACAAAAAGAGATATACACATTAATGTATTGTATATTTTGTTTATATATGTATATGGTTTCGGTATTTTATAAAATCATAAAATACACTTCATACATATATGTAGTTTACGCGTTATCTTGTGTTTAATGCAAAATACAAATATTAAAAACCCGTTCGCAAAGTTGTTCGCGAAGATTTGAATGCATCTCATTTGTGGCTTACGTTTAAACATTTGCGTATCAGTTTGTTTGTTTCTTTTTTGTTTTTTGTCTTGTTGATGTAAGTTTCCTTTTCATTAATTGGCGGTCATTGTTGATTCACTTGCATTTATTAAATTTGTTAATTCCTATATTTGTTTTAATTGCGTATCTTCTTTTGCTCGTTATCATCAATATCATTCATCGCCTTCAAAGTTTTAAATGTGAAAAAAAACTGCATCACCGGCAAGGTTTTTTGTGTTTGTTTTAATGCTCGCGAAATGCATGCGCATTTTTAACGTTTTTTTTTTTTAATTTTACAAAAAACCGATACGACGACGATAAATGTATACATATATATTTTGTTGTAGTTGTTGTTGACTGATTTATGCCTTAAGATACAAATAATAATGCAATGTTTTATTGTTTTCTTTCGGTTAATAACTACTTTAGACTGTATATAAAATCAAATCCGCATTTGACAGTTTGCCAGTTTGCCAGTTTGTAATTATAGTTGCCGTTTTTGTTGTTGTTGTGCAGAGTTTTACAAAAATGTGTATACATGTGAGTGGCTGGTTTTTGTTTTTGATTTTGTTTTTCTTTTCTTCTGCTGTGGGTTTATATTTGCAGGATTTCGCATGTTGTTGTTGCTGTAGTAGTGGTTATTGTTGTAAAAGGTCTGTGTGTGTGTATGTATGATTTGTAATGTGTAGAGTTTGTTATTTGCTCTTTTAGAGCAAAAGGCATTTGGTCTTCTTCCTCTTTTTGACTTGCAATGCAGCTCTGGTTGCTGTCTCAAACACATCTCGCACGCCCTCTTTGGACTTGGCCGAACATTCCAAATAGGCAAAGGCATTAATTTTCTCAGCCATAGCGCGTCCCTCTTGCGGCTTAACCGGCTCCTGCTTCATTTTTGCGAGATCCTTTTGGGAAAATGTTTTTGCATTATTAATTTATATGCATATCTATTTAAATATATAATGAGCACTTACCCGAATTGTGTTGGGATCATTTCGTAAATCTTTCTTATTTCCTACCAGAATGATTGGAACATTCGGACAAAAATGTTTGACCTGTGCAGAGTGTCGGCAGAAATAGGTTATAATTATTGTGTGTGGATTGCGTAACGATTTAAATTTGTTTTTTAATTTCTTTTATTCTTACCTCTGGCGTCCATTTTTCAGGGATATTTTCTAGTGAATCGGGTGAGTCCACTGAGAAACACATAAGAATAACATCCGTGTCGGGATAACTCAGTGGTCGAAGTCTGTCGTAGTCCTCCTGACCAGCCGTATCCCATAAGGCCAACTCCACCTGTAGAAGAACAGTTCGTTGATGAGAATGATGACACTTAATACAAACATGGTTTTCAAGAGAGCGAGAGAAACACATATACATACATACATCCATACTTATATATACATATGTGTGTACGTAAAAGCTAAATAACTTCAAGTTTCAGATAGCAAGGAGTTGGCGGCGGAAATGCCAAGCAAATAAATCATAAACATAGGAGATGTCGATGACGCGCGTATGGCACCATATGTAATCGCGTTATCCAAACAAGAACCACCATTTTGTGGCGTGCGAATTGTTAAGTTTGTATTACATAAATATGTACATATATAAATTCACAATAATCATATATGTGCATATGTATGAACGTCTAAAAGCTATTTTATATTTTTATACCCTTCCCTGAAAACTGTAAGGTAATATTGTTTTCGGTGTGTTTTGTAAAATCCTTTCCAACGACTGGCTGTCAATACTCCTCCCACTATTTTAGAGCTATCGCGTTAAATCTTTTCATTGATGTTTATATTTGACGAACACAAATAATATTTCGAGTCCGACCATGATCTCTATAACATATAGCGCTCATAGAAACTGCTTGTTTAAAAATGTGTATTTCAGAAAGCTCCATTGTTTATAAACATGTTGGAACCAAATTGAATATTGAGAATATTGTTGCTATATCCGATGGTAAAAAAGGTAGCAAAAACATCTTTTCTGAACAAAATTGACAGTACGGACATTGTAGGATTTGGAGAAATCAATGTTTTGTTTTCAGACGTAGTGAAGGGTATATAGCTTTTGCGCAGACGAAGATAATTAGCTCTTATTGTTTTCTTTACCAAAATGAGAAAAATATCAAAACAAGACTTGATGAGTTGCAAATATGTACATATGTATGTACGTACGAAATCAGCACAACAAATATTCATTACAAATGAGAGAGCGCCAGCTGCAAAGACAGCTAGGTAGGGACCAGTCTACAGGTAGTGGCCCCAATGGGGAGAGCACGAGAGGCGCAACACTCAAAACTGTATGTGCGCAACGGACTTGTATAAGAAAAGTAAAAGAGCGGCAGCGGTAGTGGCAGCAAGAAACGGAAGGAAGGGAACACCGCCAGTTCAGTACGTATTCATGTACGTCTGGTTGGGGCTATATGTATATACATACATTCATACATATATGAATGTGATTGTATGGGTATGGTTATTGCTATGTGTGGAGTCAAGTATTGCCGTACGACAGTGATATTGACTCACAACTTTTTTTACAACATGATCACACACACAAGCAACGCATGTATGTGTATGTACATATGTTTGTATTTAAGAAAATAATAAATATACATACGCATGTACATATGTATGTATGTATCTACGCAGAGCGGATACACACGAATACGCACACGGTATTCATATTGTTGAATGCATAAATAATAATTGCGCATGAGTGCAACATTTAATGCTCAAAGATCAGATGATTCAATTTAATTGAAAGTTAACAGAAACCTCAGACCTCCCATCGCACCACCCATCCGTACTATACATGATGAGTTATACAAAACAAACAATAACTTACCTGTTTGCCATCGACTTCGATATCGGCAACATAATTCTCGAAGACGGTCGGTACATAGACCTCTGGAAATTGGTCTTTACTAAAGACAATCAGAAGGCAAGTTTTACCGCAGGCACCATCGCCGACAATTACCAATTTCTTGCGAATCGTCGTCATTGGGAGTTCTGGAATTAGATGTGCATATGTATGTAGTTAGGTACGTGTGTGTAGAATGCAATCGCGTAGAAGTTGATGCGTAGCGTTTAAATTATTTGCGAAAACTGCGCGAGCTGTTGAAATATAGGAATGAAAAAAGCCATACTACAGGCAGCCACACACACACACACAAGTACACTTAGTCATACACTTTTAAGCTTGTTGCTGCTACTGCTGACGATCTAATAGTGAAGAAGAAGCAGTACCAGCCGCATGAGACGACGTTTGATGTTTTGACAATCACCGTCGATATAACCACAAATTCTATTTCACATGCAATTGGTATAGATTTTATGTCTTTATAAATCTATTTGCCATTTATTTATTTAACATTCATTTAGTATTGCCATTGCTGAGCGTGCATTTGTATGCGTGCGACCGTATAAGCAGTCTTCAATCATACATATGAATATCTTGTATTGGTGGCTGCGTCTGTGTGTGTGTGGAATTTTTTCACTGCTCTTTCAACTTTTCTCACTTACATTTAAGTATATTTGCAACACTCAGTACGTACGAATTCGACACTTATGTTGTTTAAAAAATGGCACAAATATGTTATTTCTTATACTGCTACCGATATTTATTTCGTATAAAACCTAATACAATTAAAAATTCGAAATTTCTTCTGCTGAACTCGACGATTTTTTTCTCATGCAAAATGACGATGAACAGTTCACTCGTTTATTTCGTGGTAGTGGATGAACGTCAGTGAACAACCAACGCCTTCAGAGTTGCTTCGCATGACCAGTTCTGGAAAATGCGGAATGTATTAATTTTGGTTTCACACTGAATGTCAAAATTGGTAACTTAGCTTCCTCTTCTGACCTCCAAAATCGCGTGTACCGGTTTGTGATTGCTCTTGTTAGTTGACTTATTAAGAAAAAATGAGCTCGGCATTAAATAAAAAAGTACTAAATGAAATAGCATTTAGTTTCAAGCTTGCGGAGGGACGCAAACCAGAGCAGACTAAGTCGATTCGAGCACCAGCCCATCTTCAATATAAGTTTTCCGTTCAAAATGAAGCTAGGTCAGTTGGTCAGAAGAGTTTAGGAAATTCTCAAGACTTTAGTAAAATGCTTTCCAAAGCGAAGTTGGAGCCCAACATGCTAAAGAAGCGAGCCAGAGAGCCGGAGTTAACAAATCCAGTTCAAACCAAGAAAGTAAAGCAGGACAAATTAAACAGCATTGAACCTGAACCAAAAACGAAAACAAAGCAAACTCCTCTTCAAAGTGTAGCTGTTGGAAGGGACCCGCAGCCAACAAAGCAGACAAAGACTTTCCCACCAATACAGGCCAAAAAAATAAAACAAGGCGCATTAAAGGACACTCAACCTGATCGAAAAACGGAAAAAGAAAAGGTTTATCCGAATGTACCTGTTGCACAAGTTAAGCCAAAATCGTCCAAAGTCAGTAAGACTGTTCACAGAAATGAGCCGGGCGCATTGAAACGGCCATCGACTTCGCCACCATTACCGGTCCAGAAAATAAAGCAAGACGAACCTCATCCAAAAGGGAAGACAAAACAAAAGCGTCAATTAAATGTCCCTGATGGAAAAGATAAGAAAAAGTCGACTAAGGCCAAGAAGAATGTTAACACAAAGAACAATTTTGTACCAACCGCGAAGGATTTCTCCGGTCCAAGAACAGATGCGGATTTTTGTTGTTTGGAAGAAGTTGAAGATGGTACGTATTTAGTTTGTATATAAACATATTCGTTATGATAATTTTTATTTTTAAAACAGGCTCACCATATGGGGAGGATTCGGATCCCCTGTTTTCTGATGATTCGTACAGCTTAGATTCAGATTCAATCGTTTCGCATGATGAAAACGTAATGGAGTTAGGGGACGAACAATCAGATAGTTCGGGCATTATGTCTGACGAACAATTTCCAGAAATATGTGTGATAGATGCTACTGGTCAATGTGAAAGCGTCGCCCAACTAGAGTTACTTAGCCCAGTTACAAACGAATTGGGAGCTTGCGACGATTGGCTGCATATACCAGATCAGTCATCAGAGTATATTGTTAATCATATACCTATTGTAACTGAAACCGAAGGTGAGGATGTCCAAGCTGAACAATCTGATGCATCAAGTGACATTTCTATGGAGGACGACGCATCGGTAGAGGATCTAAATATCAATGAAAGCCCTAGCTCAACCTTAACCAAGGATTTAACATCATCAGAGTATATTGTTAATCATATACCTATTGTTGCTGAAACCGAGACTGAGGATGTCCAAGCTGAACAATCTGCCGCATCAAGTGAGATTTCTATGGAGGATGACGCATCGGCAGAGGATCTAAATATCAAGGAAACCTGTGAGGATTTCACATATCCGGCAAGTGGTCCAACCATTGAGAATGCCATTGTAACAATCAGCGAAAATCCAGCGGATCTTCAGTTAAGCGGTTTGTTCGAGAACAGTCCAAAAGCAAATCTTGTTTTGGCGGCTATAAAATACGACTTGGAGATATATGGCTCAGTTGTAGTGACGCTATTGGCAGGAAATATCGAAGTGAACGGCTTTAAGCTAAGAAAACTCTTGCCAGAGACAATTTATTCTCCAAAGGGATTTAGTAAGGTGGTACTTTCTCCTATTCCTCGAAAGAAAACTGGTAAAGGCGATATAAATTTGGATCAGCTCCACGACTCGTTCTCTAAAGCGCAAATTGGTAATATATTGAGCAATTATGATGAAAAGACAGACGCGCTCGTTCTGTTGCAGCGAAATAGTGGTGCCCAGAAAATGATGAATATTTTTTCAAAACACATTGCTGAGAATTTATTTCCACATTTAAACATCTTGTCTTCATCTCGACCAATTGGCGCCAGCGAGTATTTGCTTCATTGCCTAATACAAATCGCTGCTAAAGATGGAGGCTTGCAGGTGCCAGCGCAATGGAAAAAACTAGCGCTAAAAAATAATAGCCGAATGATGATAACTGGCGGAAAATCCGTGGGTAAATCAACGTTACTTAGGTATGTGTTGAATCGTCATTTGACACAGTTTCCTCGCATTCTTCTAATCGATTTGGACATTGGACAGCCTGAAATATTTGTTTCGGAGACAGTATCATGCACAATAATTGATAAGCCACTATTGGGACCAGGATTTTTCTTAAATAAACAGCCAGACAGAGCCTTCGCTGTAGGGCATATAAACATTGTAATGTGTGCCAAACAATACCTCCGAGCGGTTAGCCAATTGTTGGAATATTGCCAAAAGAACGCCCACTTTGCTGGAATACCTTGGCTAATCAATACTATGGGCTATAACAGGGGCTTCGGCTTGGAACTGATGAGTTTGTTAATTAACCATGTTAAACCCAGTGATGTGGTGCAAATTGAAAGCTCAAAAATTATAAATAATTTCGATAGTCTGCTGGATTGGCAAACAGTGTCCAATGTAAAGCGTATTATCTTCAGTACCGACGAATTCAGTACTACTGCTGTGCCTAAATATAATCTACACCATCTTCACAGTGCCGTTCCGAGTAAGGAAGAATCCAACTCAAAGGCTAGGAATATGAGCGCACAGGATGTGCGCTATGCCAACTTATTAGTACGTCTGAGTGCTGCCCTCAAAGGCAATGCCGAATGCCTTACGAACTGCACACCGTGGAGTGTACCTTTGGATGATATAAAAATCCAGCATTTGACATCTGGTGAATATTCCCGAAGTGAGATTATATATGGCATGGAGGCGAATATAGTTTTTCTGTGCATCAAACGTAAGGAAAAGAATGAGTTGGCGCCGGAGTGTATAGGCATCGGTAAATATTAAAATAATTCAAAATTTGCTCCAATTTCAATTAACTCCGTTTGTCTTTTAGGCGTGGTGCGTGCCATTGACTATGAGAAGAACAGATTATATTTAATCCCAGCCATGCCGATTGGACGTTTAGCTGATATAAATTCCTTAGTCCTGGGTGGCGATGTGACCCTACCTCAGAGCTTCTTTAAGGATCAAGGACCCGATGTGGCGAACAGTGTTCCGTTTGTTTCTATAATGGACGACTCGAAGTCGTCGAAAAGCATTAAACAAATATACTTCCGTCGCCATTGATCTGCACTGATCATCAGGCTAGCATAAAATCTGCTTATTTGTTTGTAATAGTAGAAATTTATTACTTATAAAAGCGTGAAAGCGTTGTGTTCTAATGAGAGAGATTGTGCCTGCCCTTCAGTATACGTCGCATGATGACACGTCGTCCCTCCGGTGTGGATAGCCTGGCTTCCCAACCGTGCACATTAATTCGTTTGACTTCGCGTGGTTTAGGAAAGTGGCAGCGCAATTTGGTTTTAAGGATCCCGCGGTCAAAGGCGTGCTTTTGTCGCACAAACAACGTTTGCGCCGTGTTTATAGCCGTCAGGCAGGTTCTGCAAATACATTCAATAAACTGAATCCATACAAAATAATGAATTAATTCAAAATTTATCTCACCTTTGGAACAATCCCTGGAACATGTTGAATAATATGCCGATGCCAAGAAGAACGCAACACAGCTGTTTAATTTGCGGCCTTGCCAGATTGTCTACATGTTGCCATACTGAAGAAACGGCAGCTGTCAACATTAAACTGTCAAACTACCCCACCTCCTACTCAGTAGTTTTCTCCACACAGCCATTCGAGCGGCGTTAGCTCCAACGAATGCAAGCGCGTTATGTTTTGTATTTTGTTATACTAGAAAAAAAGTAGTGAAATGCACAAAAACAATACAGCAGTAATGTGAAAATCGAAAAAGTAGTAATAAAGCAAGTGTAAATAGCGCGCTGCAGAAGAGCAAAACTTGTCAATTTATTGGCAAACCTTCTCGTGTGTGCGTGAGAAGAGGTGCGCGAGTGCAAGTGAAAATTCTACGTGCAGCTGCTGTTTGCTTATGCATGTGTGTGTGTGCATGTGTCGGTGTCGGTGTTTGGACGCACTTTTTTTTATTTATTTGGCAGAAGGAAGTCTTCGTCATCTGTGTGCCGAGTAAAAAAGACTTAAATAGCACGCTGCAGCAAACACGGATCAAGTTGGAACGGTTGAGAGGTGAGTGCATGTAGGTGTGCTTGTGCGTGAAGGGGGAGGGGGTAGGGCTAAGTGCAATGCAACTGCAATTTATTTTTAATGCAATGAGGCCTGTGGCTAATCCAAGGCACGCTAATTAGCCAAAAAAGGCAAGCAAAGCTGCCACCATCCGTCGCCTTGCACACGCACCAGAAAAGAAGCGACCAAATATACAAAAAGAAAATCGATTTTCCTGAACTCACAATTTTCTACGCCTGAATGAGCCGTGGAGCAGAGCAGCAGCAACATCGGCGTGGGGAGCCATCAACATCGTTCCCAGTACGCGTCGGCCGCATCATACATACATACATATATAGGTATAGTACATACAAACATCCACACACACACATATAAATTGAATTTCGAAACACGGAAGCGGCAACACGGCGTCGGCGTACAATGTGATGTGGCAGAGCCCCCAAAGGTTCCCCAACTTCTCAATAAATTCAGCTCCGAATATTTGTTGCTCTGGCTGGTGTGGATGATGTGTATGAAATGTTGTTGTGCTGTTGCTGCTGCTGCACAAAAAGTTAATGCCAAAACCCGATCCCAACCATTAAGCTGCGTGGTTGTCACAGCAACCGCATTTAGCAGATGATTTTAGCGACCATCCAAAGCACAATCAAAAAAAAAAAAAAAAACAAAATCGTACGTTGCAGTCAAAATCTTCATGTAAGGTGTCGGTGGTGGGGGGCGGTTGTGACAGTCAGTGTGTTTGTGTTTTGATGACGGCACTCAACACACACACCACACTGATTTACTGCATATGCGTGTACATATGTATGTACTTGTATGTATGTGTGTGTTTGTTTATACCAATCATTTTTGGCACTCTGCAAAGGGGCACAAATGCGGATGCTGGCGCTGATGCTGAGACGTGCTTTGTGCGCAGGGACGGACATGTCTGGTCGTATCCGCTAGCACCCTTAATTTGCCGCTGTGTGTACGTATGTGTGTTTGAGTGTGCGTGTGCGTTTGCGTGTGCTTAGGGTTGCGTACGATACTTCAAAATTTCTTTTATGACCGTTTAGCATAGGTTTCTCATATTAGGATTTACTTTTTATGGCACATTTTATGTGTTTTTAATCACACTGCGTCAATTTGTTGAAGTTGTTGCTGTTGGGGGCGTTCGCTCTACGCTCTGTTGCCTGTCTGTGTCAAGTGTGTGTGTGTGTGTGTGGAGTGCTGCTGCTGGTACAAAATGATTGCACAAGCGCCCGCATAATTATAAAGCACGCATTTTAACAGCTGTCCCACTCTTAATGAAATTGAATTTCTAATTATAATAAAGGGTCTGCTTCGCATCAAACTTGCATTATCTCGCTATCTGACCTGCACCATTTCGGGCAGTTTGGCCTTTTTTGATGTTCGCAGCAAACACACATACACGCACACACACACAAACACATCCACACAAACTGTGCCTGTGGGCTCTATTGCCCCAAAACCCATCTCCCCACTTTTTCCTGGCTGCGCTCTTTATTTTTGTTGCTGTTGTTGTTTGTCGTCTCTCGTCTTATTCTTTTTATCGTTTCTCCATGGGCCGTTGAAGTACAAAAATATATACGAATCTATCATGGCGGCAGCTGCTGTTGCCCACCCTGCCCTGTCCCTGATCCCGGCCATGATCCGCTCTCGCTCTGGCCGGCAATGGGCACCAACTGTTGGCCGTATGGTGCTGTCGTCGTCGTCATCGTCATCACCGTTGTTGTTGTCGTTGTCTACATCATCATCAATCCCTTGATGTTGCTGTTGCTGTACGAGTAGTTGTTGCCTCACAAATTTTTCATGTCAAAAACTTTGCGTATTGCATGCTCTATGTTTGTTTTTAGAGTTTGTTTTATTGAAATCATCATACACACACGCACTCACACACACACATACTTGTATGTGTATGCTGTGTTCACATTGAGGAGCATACAATTTTTACGAAACTCCAACGAGAAAGGCAACAACAACGACCACGACGACAACTGCAGCCACAGATGCATGTATTATGCATGCAAATTATGTGAGACTGGCGATCGTCAAGTTGACTCCACCGTAAACTCCATGCCATTTGGCCAATATATCAGAGGTACACTGACTTAGCCCTGCCCAGATGCTTTGGGTCGTGCTTGTCAGCTCCCGCCTCCGTTGCACCGTGGTTCAAATTCAAGTTGCTGCTCCAGAAAAACTATTATTTTCTCAAAAGTATAAGAAATGCTGATAATGATGTGAATACATTGAATACATAAATAAATACATGGGTCATCGAAATAAATCATGTGTTCAATCTAAGTTTGGAATCATTTCTGGCCAAATATTCATAAAGTTATTTAACTTAAAAATATAAGAAACATTGCCATTGATTCACGCAGTTAGTTAAATTTCTCAATATATTTTATATTTGTTTTTACCTGTCATGGGCTTAATTAATCATTTTCTTGTTATCAACCCCACAAATATAATAAAAATTCCAAATAAATCTTCAATATAATAAAAATTCTAAATAAAAAATAATTTATCGAATTTCGTTGGTCTTTCAACATTAGTCAAGTATGATAAAAATATCTTCAAATGGAACATATTTTTCGCACCTTTTAAGGAAAAAGCAAATGTCAACGTATTTTGATAGTTACGCTTAATAAGAACAATAAGATATAATTGTAGATCGATCTTTGTGTACATTTAGGCTTAAATTTCAAACTTATATTTATTCGCTTTTTGTAGTGAAAGTATATCGCTATGTCTTACAAGATGTAATTAACTCGGCTATATATTTAATATATTGTTAAAGCCTGGAATTTTATGGCCCTTTTATTGGTGGATATTACCTTTTTGTAAATAATTTCCTTTGTATTGATTCTGGAGCTTTATGAATAACGCTTCACAGGACACGGAATCGAAAGTATTTAACTTCCTATATCCAGTTTTAAATAAGTTAAATGAACTAAGATTAAGAACAATACAATATAAGCAATAACATGTTAACCAATAGATGAAGGCTATTCAAATTAGTTTGCAGATTATTAAAATCGCATTGCATTACAAATACTACATATATGCTCAAACGTATAATGAATCGCTACCACTGTGCGTAAACGCATTTCTGCCAATGTATGGTGTTGTCCGCCCCACGCAAAAATATTTTTGTTGTGACGGTGCAGATACTTCTTTGCCTGCCGGAGACGGCAACGAAGACTGCAGTTGAATGCCCGCTGCACTGCACTCACATACATACAAACAAACATATATGTATGTACATATGTATGGATGTATATATTCGTATGCTTGCATGACACAAGCCTTTGGCATTTGCTGTTGTTGTGGTTAAATTTTCACTGTCGATAATTGCCGCGTGATTTCTAATCAAATTACCATGTGGATCGAGACATTATTAGAACGTCGGTCTGCTGTCAGTCTATTTACTTTAATTTGTTGTAATTTTAAGCTCAGTTGTTATCCAATTTTAGGTCTCAATTTACGTCTCAAGTTTATTGACGTTTGTCATGGTTTGTTTGTCTTAATTAGAAATCGTATGCATTGTGCATTGCTTTTACACTCCAATTATTTGATTATGTTTTTTGATTATGCCCAAACAACAGCTTATACCAATTGGGAACGTCTCTATCGTTGACATAGTATCACAAAAGCCATTAAAAGGCATTATATGGGAAGGCGTTGCCGCCGCTCCGCTGCATTTGTTGCAGTTGCAGCCTCAACTGTTGTGGCAAGTCATGCCAAAAAGTCGCTGCCTTTTCTATGCGTGTTTGTTATTTAAGCTGACATCGTCGTCATCGTCAGAGTCAGCGTCAGCGTCATACCCCAATTACAGTCAATTAAACTCTATCAAATTCTGATATGGGTACGGCGATCGCACCGCACTATGTCAGTTGGTTGAATCGGGGCTATGCGAGTATATGCGTGCGTGCCTTTAGCCGAAAACGTGCCATTGCGTGTTTTCTTAACCCTAGTCTTTAGCTATAAGTAGTAAGGCCGTGCATTTTGTTTCGCATGTTAACACCTCTGTTTTCCCCTTTTAATTCTCTCATTTAGTGCATTTGCTAAACACAAAGACAGTGAGGGGAGTGCACGGCATTACGGCTCATTGCTCAATTCGAGGGCTCGCTCTCTAGCCACCTCAACCGTCCGCCATTCATAACGAGCAATTGGGTAACTGTCTAGCCATTGCCGGAAATTAGGTTACACATCAGCTACTTTTATATGTTGGCGCGATATAACCGACGATCGCATTTTATCTGATATGCATATCTCTTAACCACTTTAAAGCCCAACTGTTATCATATCTGGCCTGGCCATATTTATCTGTGAAAGCCACATAATGTCGTCATGCGTGCCTTTTGTCTACATTCCCCTTTCGGACTCTAGCACTTGCAACATACGCATGCAACCACGTGTCTACACAATATAGTACATACATACATATGTGTATGTATAGATGTGCCCTTTCTACTCATACTCGCAATATGTGTCAGTTGCGCCAGTTTTTAATTGTTGCGCCATATAAGAAAGCTAAAATTTGAATTTCCATTATAGATAAAACTGATATCACTATGAATGGGGTTTGTGCAGAGTCGATGGTTAAATTTGTGTAACAAATCAATTTAAACGCTATCCAAGATATCTATGTAGACTTGGAAGCATTTTGTAACTTTATTATTTATTTAAAATATGGTACATATATGTACAAATATATAGCGCATATGTAGATAAAAAATATATTTTTATCTTTTTACGTGCAACTAGTTCTAGAACTAAATAAATATATGTATTAACAAGTAAAAAAGCTAAAGTCGGGTGTCCCGACTTTGAAATACTCTGTACATATGTTTACAATAATTATAGAAAATAAAAATAATTAAGAAAATAAAAAAAAATTTGATCGATTTTACCTTTCTCGGTATTCGAACTCAAGTAAAGGGTATTTATGGCTATAACTTCCTGCTAAATCGGTTTATCATGATGAAACTTGGCATACG